CGGCCACTCGAGGAACTGGCTGTGAGTTCTCACTGTTGGCCAAGGAATCCCTGGATAAAAGTACATGGACTGTCCGACATCGCCCGGACAAGCAATTCTCCAAGCATAATCATGCACCAAGCCAGCATCCCTCTGCCCACCCAGCACATCGCAAGCTGGGAGAAGAAGTTGTAGCGGATCTGTCACGCTTGTCCCATGCCGGTATAGCTCCCAGAGATATCCGAACATATATACGACAGAATTGCGATTCCTTGGCGACCCAGCAGGACATCTACAACGGGATTGCAGCTACCAGGAGAGAAGTATGCGAAGGGCAAAGCTCTATTCATGCGCTCGCCAGCCAGCTCGATAAAGAAGGCTTTTGGAGTCGAATACAGTTCGGTGAAGACGGCCGGGTTACCGCTATCTTATTCGCTCATCCAGATTCATTGGCGTATCTTCAGGCCTACCCGGATATACTCTTACTAGACTGCACATACAAGACGAACAAGCATGGCATGCCGCTGCTCGACATGATTGGAGTCGATGCCTGCCAGCGATCTTTCTGCATAGCGTTTGCATTCCTCAGTGGGGAGACGGAAGACGATTTTCTATGGGCGTTGGATCGGTTGAGGTCACTATACGAACACCATAGCGCCAGACTGCCCTCTGTTATTCTGACGGACCGCTGCGTCGCCTGCATGAATGCTGTTGAGACCTCCTTCCCTACGTCTTGCTCACTGCTCTGCCGCTGGCACGCGAACAAGGCAGTCCTCCGTTACTGCCGGCCAGCTTTCGTCCGCCAAGACCAACCGGGCTACACCGACCCAGCAACAAACGATGCTGTGGAGACCAGTGGTTAGTCCGAATTCTACCAGTTTTAGCACTCGATCATAGGTGCGCCGAACGAGGAAGAGTTCAAGCACCAAGTTTCGCAATTCGAGAAGAAGTACCTACCAGAGTATCTCGAGCAGGTCGGATATGTCCAGACTTTCTGGCTTGAGCAGTACAAAGAGAAGCTTATCAAGGCCTGGGTCGATCAGCATGCTCATTTCGGTAATACAGCCACGTCCCGAGTCGAGGGCATACATGCACTGATGAAATCCCATCTCAGAAAGTCCACGTTAGATCTCTTTGAAGCTTAGAGGGCAATGAAGCATGCACTACTCAACCAGTTATCGGAGTTAAGATCGAACCAAGCCCGACAGCAGATTCGACTTCCTATTGAACTTTCGGGGCCGCTGTACGCTGCAGTGCATAGCTAGGTATCACATAAAGCCCTGAGAAAGGTGGAGGAGCAACGGAAGTTGCTGAGTAGGAAAGATCCTCCCCCGCCATTGACTTGCACGGGATCTTTCACCAGATCCTATGGACTGCCTTGCCTCCACACTCTGAAATCCTTGCAAGAGCAGGGCCAAGTCCTTTCACTTGAACACTTCCACCAGCACTAGCGCCTGCAGCGCAAGGGAGCTCCGCAACCACTTCTAGAGCCTCGCCAACGAATTAAGTCGACGTTTACACACTCCAATATCCCAAAACAGAGCACCCGAAGAGAACCCAATGCGTTTAAGAGTGTTGGGATGGCGCGCAAAGCGCCGCCTACGTGCAGCAGATGCCACACGGTTGGTCATACCAGGACGGCAAGGGCCTGCCCAATGAGGTTTGGAGAGTTGCTTCAACAAGAAGCTCTGGGCCCGGGACTTTCGCAGTCGGTTGAAGCATCGGATACTGAACCCGAGCCGCCCCAAATCCGACCTTTGGTGGATGTACCCGAGGAAGAATCAGCGCCAGCGCCGGCAGATGGTTTCCTGGCCGCAGTCCTCGGCGATCAGCCAGAGACTGTGACTGGGGCCTTGCAAGACTCTCCCTGTGGCGCCTCTCAGCAGCCAGGACCCCTTATTCATAAACCATCTCCTTCGCCTCGCCCGCCACCGCCATCGCTGCCGAGGTACGACTCACCACAGGCCATATATGGAAGATATATCGCCGCAAGAAGCGCGTGGTACGCAGTGCAGCCGGCCGGCAGCATCAAGACGAACCAACAATATCGCAGGGCGATAGGGCTCCCCCTCAGGTATGACAAGCAGAGCTACGAGTGGTGCCTGGACTACAAACAGATGTCCAATCGCTGTACCACATCAACAGGGTCAAGGCAATGGACGAAAGAAGAGATGATGGCATATCTAGACTGGACCAAGGCCGAGGATGAGCGAATTAAAGCCCAGGTCGCTGAAGAGATAGGAGACAATCCTTTGGCTAATACAAGAAGGGGAGTCAAAGACATTTAGAGGAGAATAGAAACGGACAGCAGGGAACAAGAAGCTTTGCACTCGGCTAGCCGTAAAACAGACGACTGTATCATTGTTGGCAGTCATGGGTGTTAGACGATCGACTCGGTGGCAAAGCCCTTAGACATTCTACGGCTGTCACGTCCTATATATAATTTAGGTAGCTCTTATATAGATTAAACACTTAAACCTTCCCATCTCAACAATTATAAGCGAAAGGTAGTTATCGGCTCCGTTGAATATGTAAGTTAGTGGGCTTTACTTTACCAGCGGAGATAGTGCCAATAGCCAATATTTTGTATTGCCAATTCTGCGAATGCACTATGCTTAGTCATTTTCGCGGTACCCGTGAAATGTTAAATTCGCGGGTACCGCGAGCCTATGGGCTCCCGCCGTGAGTGTACGGACCCGTGCATCTATGGTGCCCCCACAACCACAGCTGTCTATGTAATGGTGCTCCCGGGAAGCACGGTACCATGCACAACCACCCTTTCGACACCCCCACTCTTTCGCCACGCAAAAAAAAAAAAAGCACCACCAAAACTCGTCAATTTCACTTACACGAAAGTTAGCCAAAATAAATAGCTACATAAAAGAAGTTACCTCTATTGATTATAGAAATGATTAGAGGTAATTGTTTTGACTCTGTAAGGCTGTGCGGGGTACGCGATATAAGCAGGCCATGCTATTGAAATATTGTCAGTTTAATCACCAAGCTCCTCACCGCTCTTTCTCGTGTTTTTTGGTCTTTGTCTTTGACAGCGACAAAAAAATGCCTATCTCGCGACTTAGATGGGAATATACAGAGGACGACATAGCTGAGGCTATATTGGATATTACTGATAATGGCTTTTCACCTCCTCAAGCCGCTCAGAGACGGGGAGTGCCCCGAGGGACTCTCATCGACAGACTTAACGGCCAGACAGCCGTGAAAGAGCAGATTCAGCCTCGCCGACGTTTGTCCAAGAATCAAGAGGACAGACTGGCTTTCTGGATACTCTGTCAGGAATCTCTGGGCTATGCTCCGTCCCACGATCAGATCCGCGCTTGCGTCATGGGCTTGTTGAGACAGCAGGGCGAATATCCCGAATTAGGACGCAACTAGGTGACCAGATTTATCAACCGCCGCACAGACCTGAAGACCAAGATGGGTAGACATCAAGAAGCCAAAAGGTTCGACTCTTTCACGCCCAAGGCAGTTCACTGGTACTTTGATATCAGGGAGGGCCAGTATGGCTGGATCAAGCCTGAAAACACCGTCAACGTTGACGAAGGGGGTATTATGACTGGTTTCGGCAAGCATCCATCTTTATATTTTGCTAGCTCTCAAAATCCGGCCGACTAACCCTTTTATTCAGGCCTGGATGGCCTGGTTGTTGGAAGTGCGGACCCAAAGCGGAAGGCATTTCTCAAGGGACCACAGACTCGGAATTGGACGTCATTTATCGAGGCCGTCACTGCTAGCGGCCGCGCCTTAACCCCTGGCATAATCTTCAAGGGCAAAGAACTCCAGAAACAGTGGTTTCTCGACGAATTCAAGAAAATAGCAGACTGGTATTACATAACTTCGCCTAACGGGTGGACTGACGACCACATAGGCGTTGAATGGCTTGAAAGAGTCTATCTGCCCCAGACCATGCCTGCCGACGACTCTGACGCGAGACTGATCATTTTAGATGGTCATGGGAGTCATGCAACGGTATGTTCTTCGTTCTATTCAGCCCAAGATCACTACTGAGCGACGGAAGGATGAATAGATGGCCACGTGCTTCTTGAACAACGTTTATTGTTGCTATCTGCCAGCACACTGCTCTTATGGGCTCCAGCCGTTAGATAATGGAGTATTCAATGCCTCCAAAGCCGCATATCGACGAGAGTTGGAAAAGTTCGCTTCGTTGACTGATTCCACTCCGATGGACAAGGTTAATTTCATCAGGGCCTACGCCAAGGCTCGTCGAGTTGGAATGACTGAGAAGAACATACTCTCTGGCTGGAGGGTTACTGGGAATTGGCCGATCTCACGTGCCAAAGCGCTGCGGCACCCAGAAATCCAAGAAGAGAGGTCAAATGGCAGCCCAAGAGCGACTCCCGAACCCAGGCCGTATTTTGACTCGGACGATACACCAAAGACGAGCCGCCAAATTCGCGATCTTGGGCTGAACAAGACGCCAAAGACACGAAGACGGTACAGCATAATATCCAAGGGGTTTGAGGCTCAACAGCAGACGGTAGCGGCGCATACTGCGAGGATTGCTAGCCTAGAGGAGGAATTGGCTCGCTTGAAGAGAGGGAAGAAGAGGAAGGCGGTGCCGAATCCTAACAAACGTTTTATGACTCTTGGTGAGACTCTAGCTGGTGGAGAGGCCATAGCCGAAAAGGAGACTAAAAATATGCTTGTTGTGGTGGAATGTGGCTATTCAGGCGAGCAGGAGTCAGAATCGGAGGCTGCCTCGGTCATCGAGGTCAGAGAGGAAACCATACCCCATCAACCAACCACGCGATCAGGGCGGCTTATCAAAAGACCGAGGATTCAATAGATATGTGCATTTATTATTTATAAAACGAAAAATTTTGCGCATATCTATCATTTTGGTCAAGTTCTGTGTAAGTAAAGTTGCTCATTTTTGGTGGTGCTTTTTTTGTTTTGCGTGGCGAAAGTGTGGTGGTGTCGAAAGGGTGGTTGTGCATGGTACTGCTGGCTATACTGACTCATCAGTCCAGAGGCGCCTTGACTCAAGCGACAGAATTCCCATGCTTGATATTGTCCAAGTCGACTTGTTGGATAGCATCCCAGTGCTCCACAACCTTGCCATCTTTCCATCGATAAAGGTCAAAGACATGCTCGCCAGCATCCCCCGGCCAGCGCGTGGAAAATATTTGAGCCACGATATAATCCACGTCCACCAGGATCCTCTTGAAGTTCATGTTGAAGTGCGGCTCGCCGGGGCCCGTCCAGTGCCTGGCGGCAATCGACTCGAGAACCTTGGACGCCTCGATGATGGAGTCGCGACCGTCAGCGACGAGTTGACTGTGTTGTTTATAGTTCTCATCCACCAACTCGAATGTTCTCTTGTAGTCATAGTATTTGAAGGTCGCCAGGTGCAGTTCGATAATCTTCTTGGCCCTGGCTATCTGCTCTGGGGTGTGAGGTGGCTGGTCGGTGAGCCTGGCGTAGATTTGGTCAACTTCGGCAGTGTAGTTAGCCATGTTTTGGTATGGTTGCAGTTTGTATTCTTTTTAGGTCTTGATGAGAAGCATGGCATTATGCGAGCAGCTATCAAACAAGCAGGGCCCTGATATATGGCTTTAATGCCGTGCCATCATGTGCATTCGCTAACCCCACCCACTAGCTGCCAGACACGCGTGTTCGTATAATGATGGGGACAGATGGTCAGAAGATGGAGGAGGAGTGAAAATCATTGCTGATTGATCATGATGCTGATGTTGTCAGACACGCCTGTTCGTATAATGATGGAGATGGGTGATCAGAGGATGGAGAAGTGTATATGGAGTATGCAGAACCGAGAACGATTGATTTAGGATGATGATCATGTCTGTGACTGATCTGGAGATGTGTTCGTCCTCCTTATTCTTCGTTCTCCCTCGTTGTCTTTGTATCTGAGGGGGCAAGGCCAAGATACTAGACCCGCTGATCCTGCAACAGATCTGTAACGCTGTTCTGACAATTAAGGTATCATGGGGTGACATCTTCCCTTGAGGTGGCTGCTTGTGTAACATCATCATGCATGCCACTTCTCCAACAATAAGCGAGGGGGCCAGACTAGCGAGTGGGTGTAATGGTTAAGGTTTCCAACGTAGTAAACCGTAACCTGATTGGTCTGTTAGCAGTTGCAACGGGGCCCAACTGTATACACAGCTCAGTGGGGAGTCGGTGGGGAGACAGTGCTCGGAGCGAGCATTGCAAACTCCGAATCGGTGGGGAGGCAAACGTGGAGAAGATGAACGGGGTTGCGGAGCCCGATCCTGCCGTCCGTGACAGCGGGGGCCACACAAGGGGCAAACTTGTACAACGCTCTGGCCAGTCTCAAGTTAGCCTGTAAGTGACACTGGTATGGCTGTAGTCAGAGAGAGCCATCTACCTGGTCATGAAATCCCCACCCGTATGCAACGGGCATTCGAGTTGGTGTGACGACGGGTCTGGTCCGGGCCGACCAACGCTACCAGGCTAATCGCTTGACCATAATTAAAACTACTAGTTACGCCACCAGCTCGAGATTCGCCCTGTCTCACTCCAATATCATCTTCTCGCCCGTCATCAGTAACAATGGCCCTCCTGCAAGATTTGCAGAGCTCCCTCATCGCACAGCGTATCTTGTCGAGCCTGCAACATGTCAGCCCCAAAGACGTCGCCATTGGGTTCCTGCTGACTGCTGCTGTACTTTATATTTTTTTCTACCTCATTCCACTGATTTACAGTCTCTTCTTCTCACCTCTGAGGAAGATCCCCGGCCCATTGCTGGCTCGGGTCACGCGCTGGTGGGAGTACCGCTTGGTGAGCAAAGGCGACTCAAACCTGGAATACATTCGCCTGCACCAGAAATACGGTTTGTCCTTCCCTGCCTTGGGTAGCCACTCGACTGACGGTGAAATCACTCAGGCCCAGTTGTCCGAGTCGGACCGAATCGCTACAGCATCAGTCAACCAAAAGATGTCAAGACCATCTACGAGCTGGGGGGCAAGTTCACCAAGGCCGACTATTACAAGCCGCTGCTCAACCCCGACCCCGAGAAGCAAAACATCTTTGTCGTCCTGGACAATGATCGACACAAGGAGAAACGAAGAAAGATCTCGCCTCTGTACACCATGTCATCCATGGTATCGTACGAACCTGCTGTCGATGAGATGACTACTGTTTGCATCCGAAAGCTGTACCAGTTTGCCAAGGAAGGCCGTCTAATTGATATCCCGCACTGGATGCAGTACTACGCCTTTGATGTCATTGGCGAAATCACTGTGAGTTCCTCGCACCACCACCGCGTAGATCTTGGCTAACCGATGCAATCAAGTTCAACAAGAGCTTTGGCATGATGGAGAACGAGGGTGACACCACCGGAATGATCCCAGGTATCCGAGCCGCCAACGACTTTCTGGCATACCTGGGCATCATTCCCAACCTCGTCCCCTGGGTCCTCGGGTTAAGTGCCGTGTTGGGCCGGAAGTCGAACACCTCAGTGCTAGTGAGCTACGCCTTTGCGCAGATTGACAGGAATCGCGAAGCGAATGTGCACTCGACAACCAAAGACACCAAGAAATACGACACATTCTTGAAGAAGCTGCTCGACATGGAAGCCCAAGGCCGTCTTAAACTGCCAAACGTCCTGGATGCCTGTGGCAGCAACATCGGGGCCGGTTCTGACACCACCGCCGTCACACTGAGCTCCACTCTGTATTTCCTCTTCAGGAATCCAGACAAACTCGACAAGCTGCGCCAGGAAATTGACACAAAAACCGCTGAAGGCAGCATCTCGGACCCAGTCACCTTCCGGGAGGCACAGGACATGTCCTATCTGCAGGCTGTCATAAAGGAGACACTACGTCTTCATCCAGCCGTGGGAACCATGTTGCCCCGTGTTGTGCCTAGAGGTGGCATGGAACTGTCGGGCTACTACTTCCCTGAGGGGGTATGTAAACAGTAGCGCGCTTTTTCCCTCTGCTGACCAGACGTATAGACCGAGGTTGGCGCGAACGCATGGGTCTTGCATTACAGCAAGGACATCTACGGCCCAGATCCCGAAGTCTTCCGTCCAGAACGCTGGATCGGAAAGGAAAAGACCAGCATCATGGACTCCATGATGTTTGCGGTATGGAAAAGAAAGTTCGCTTTGAAACTAGGCCATTGGACTAATTTTGCTTGTAGTTTGGAGCTGGTTCTCGAACCTGTATCGGCAGGAATATCAGCCTGCTGGAGCTGACCAAGGTGGTGCCTCAGATTGTCCGCAAGTTCGATCTCGAACTTGAGCATCCAGATAAGCCGATGGACACGACATGCGCGTGGTTTGTCTATCCTCATTACAACGGTCGGTTCAAGGTGCGAGGTGCAAAGGCATCGGACTGATAGACTAAGACTGGCAATACGTTCTATGTGTGTTGCCCTTTTGTGACACTGGAAATGCTTATTTCCGTTTAAAAAGGTGTATGTTTATGTATATTGGCTTTCGAAGACCTTTTCTGAATGCTCATCTCTGTCCACTGTAACCTACTGTCTTTTGGTGACATCAATGTTGCGTTGCATTTTACTCCACGTTCCGTACGACATCCTTGGTGCTACCTCTCAAGTGCTTTAACTTGGCCGCTATAAACCGGAAACTCGATTCTCTGGAGTATTCTTCAAGCGAGATCGTTGGTGTTATTCAAAGTCACGCCGTTGTGGTGAAATACACTGGTGCCATTGAGCCCGAAAGACAAACGCCTTCATCTGGAACCAAATGTCACAAGATGTGATCCAAGTTGCATTGCTTGCCTTGATCCACTAAATAATTGGGAACAAAAGTTCAGTCTGGTTTACCCTCGTCATTTGGGCGTTCCCAGCGTCTTGTTAATAGCGAGAGCTTGCCAGACCCCGCGTGAACTTGTCGGCACATGCCTTTGTAGTCTCCCAGTCCTAAGAGACATCGTAGGTACGTTATTGATCTCAATGACGTCTCCAAAGAGGGCCATTAGCCACAATAGCAAAGAACACAGTTTCACACATAACGGTATTAAAACCTAATACCGTAAAACACTACCATGCACAACCACTCTTTCGCCAACCCCACTCTTTCGCCAGGCAAAAAAAAAAAAGCACCACCAAAACTCGTCAACTTCACTTACACGAAAGTTGGCCAAAATAAATAGCTACGTAAAAGAAGTTACCTCTATTGATTATAGAAATGATTGAAGGTGATTGTTTTGACTCCGTAATGTTGTGTGGGGTACGCGATATATGCAGGCCGTGCTATTGAAATATTGTTAGTCCGATCACCAAGCCGCTCACCGCTCCTTCTCGTGTTTTTTGGTCTTTGTCTTTGACAGCGACAAAAAAATGCCTATCTCGCGACTTCGATGGGAATATACAGAGGACGACATGGCTGAGGCTATATTGGATATTACTGATAATGGCTTTTCACCCTCTCAAGCGGCTAAGAGACGGGGAGTGCCCCGAAGGACTCTAATCGACAGACTTAACGGCCGGGGAGCCGTGAAAGAGCAGATTCACCCTCGCCGACGTTTGTCCAAGGATCAAGAGGACAGATTGGCTTTCTGGATACTCCGTCAGGAATCCTTAGGCTATGCTCCGTCCCACGATCAGATCCGCGCTTGCGTTATGGGCTTATTGAGACGGCAGGGCGAATATCCCGAGTTAGGACGCAATTGGGTGGCCAGATTTATCAATCGCCGCACAGACCTCAAGACCAAGATGGGTAGACGCCAGGAAGCTAAAAGGTTCGACGCTTTCACGCCCAAGGCAGTTCACTGGTACTTTGATATCAGGGAGGGCCAGTATGGCTGGATTAAGCCTGAAAACACCGTCAACGTTGATGAAGGGGGTATTATGACTGGTTTCGGCAAGCATCTATCTGTATACCTTGTCAGTGCTTGAAATCTGACCGACTAATCCTTTTTATTTAGGCTTAGATGGCCTGGTTGTTGGAAGCGCGGACCCAAAGCGGAAGGCATTTCTCAAGGGACCACAGACTCGGAATTGGACTTCATTTATCGAGGCTATCACTGCTGACGGCCGCGCTTTAATCCCTGGCATAATCTTCAAGGGGAAAGAACTCCAGAAACAGTGGTTTCTTGAGGAATTCAAGACGATAGCAGACTGGTATTATATAACTTCGCCTAACGGGTGGACTGACGATCATATTAGCGTTGAATGGCTTGAAAGAGTCTATCTGCCCCAGACCACGCCTGCCGACGACTCCGACGCGAGACTGATCATTTTAGATGGTCATGGGAGTCATGCAACGGTATATTCTTCATTCTCTTTAGCCCAAGATCACTACTGAGCGACGGAAGGATAAATGGATGGCCACGTGCTTTCTGAACAACGTTTACTGTTGCTATCTGCCAGCACACTGCTCTCATGGGCTCCAGCCGTTGGACAATAGAGTATTCAATGCCTCCAAAGCCGCATATCGACGAGAGTTAGAAAAGTTCGCTTCATTGACTGATTCCACTCCAATGGACAAGGTTAATTTCATCAGGGCCTACGCCAAGGCGCGTCGAGTTGGAATGACTAAGAAGAACATACTCTCCGGCTGGAGGGTTACTGGGAATTGGCCGATCTCACGTGCCAAAGCGCTGCGGCATCCAGAAATCCAACAGGATAGGCCAAATGGCAGCCCAAGAGCGACTCCCGAACCCAGGCCGTATTTTGACTCGGACGATACACCACAGACGAGCCGCCAAATTCGCGATCTTGGGCTAAACAAAACGCCAAAGACACGAAGACGGTACAACGTAATAGCCAAGGGGTTTAAGGCTCAACAGCAGACGGTAGCGGCGCATACTACGAGGATTGCTAGCCTAGAGGAGGAATTGGCTCGCCTGAAGAGAGGGAAGAAGAGGAAGGCGGTGCCGAATCCTAACAAGCGTTTTATGACTCTTGGCGAGACTCTAGCTGCTAGAGAGGCCATAGCCGAAGAGGAGACTCAAATTATGCCTGTTGTGGTGGAATGTGGCAGCTCAAGCGAGCCGGAGTCAGAATCGGAGGCTGGCTCGGTCATTGAAGTCAGAGAGGAAACCATACCCCATCAACCAACCACGCGATCAGGGCGGGTTATCAAAAGACCCAGGATTCAATAGATATATGCATTTATTATTTATAAAACGAAAATTTTTGCGCATATCTATCATTTTGGTCAAGTTCTGTGTAAGTAAAGTTGTTGATTTTTGGTGGTGCTTTTTTTTTTTTGCGTGGCGAAAGAGTGGGGTTGGCGAAAGAGTGGTTGTGCATGGTATAACCTAGATATCGTTAACGTTTTATAGCGGCAGCTATAGAAGTCAGTAGAAAGATGAGTCTTCTAGTATAAGATGATACCTTTCTTTTTCCTAAGAGGGGATAAATGCCCTGCCTTCCTCGTCTGGCTTGCTATCGACACCTTCAGCTTCATCCTTAAATTCGCAGTCAGAATGGCCACTACTACGATAATACGACTGCCGATCAATAAAGGCGAGTCTCCCCGCCTAGGCCAGTGGTACCGTAGGTACATGGATCATAGAAGGCATACCTCCGTTCATCTCCTGAGTGCGCATAGCCCTCCCAAGATGTCACGATGAGGGGTCTGGTCCAATCAGAAGGCGCCAAATAAAGGGTACTTAATTCCTCTCCTAAATTAGGTGGTGATAGAAGTCCCAACAATGTTGGTTATTACAAATCGCAACCTTGCAAATACGGCAGCCATGTGAGGTCTGACTCCGTACATTGTGCCTCCTCTTATTACCGCTGGTCTCCGTAAGAGGGCTCCAAGCCTCACTTTTTGCTCTCAGCTGCCCCTGCCGACAGCCCTGACAGGCTAGGCAGTCTGATTTGACATGACGGTCGACATGATTGATCTCCCGATTGATGTGATCCCTCTGTAATTCAGGGTTTTGTAGATCACGCTCGTCTCCTGGTCGGTATCGCTGCCTTGCCTGACTGTCATGACCGTAGGCGTTGAATAATTCGTTATAGATGCACTCTCGCCATTCCCTCTGATTGGTATATCTCTTCCAATTTGGCTGCGGTCCGTGAAGTTGAGCAATATAGCTGTTAACGAGGGCCACGTCGAGGAGGAAAGTCCATGCAAGTGCCTGCCACGCACCACGGCGTAGGGGATGATCGTACTTATAATATGACCTCAGTTGGTCGCCACGGTCAACGTGATTCATTTGATCGTTATACTCAGCAGCCACTATCGGGATGTTGATCATCTTGACAGCTTCGTCACCGAAAAAGCGGCGTATTGGCTTGGCTTCTGACTTCCGTGACGACGGCTTCTTCCTCTGCCGTATGACACGCTCATCGTCGGCACCAGTGAACACGGTGGTCAAAAATAACACAAGCTTGTTGTCTTTCCAAGCGATTTGGTTGACCTAGGGTTACGGCACGAAGACGAATTAGTAGGGATTTCTCAGTGAAAAGTGTCTGAAGTCAGTACCTGGTTGTCAGGGGTTGGTATCGCCTTGACCGTATTGAATTCGTACATTTTCTTGACTTTGCCGTCGTTGTTCTTATCTTGTACGAGTTCCTCATGGATGCCGCTATTCGTGCGAGCCGTGCCTGTGGCCCCGAGGCCGTGGTTACGGAGGTTGCGGAAGAGGGGAGACGACGAGAAGAGGTTATCCACAAAGACGTGATATTTCGCTTTTGGCAGCATATTTGTAAGGGCAACGACGATAGCCTGAGTCGAATTCGGTGAGAAAGACTCGTCTTCTATATCAGGGGCTTCGACTGTGACTTTTCTTCGCTTGCTTGGCCGACCTTGTGATGATGACTTCTGAGTTGAAATTCAACGCCAACGGCACCGTGTGGTTTCTCCTTGACGTGCCAAATCCACCGAATAAAGAAGCCGTATTGGGCAATGACCCATATCTTGAAGCCCACGGGGTCAGGCTTGCTTTTGATAACCGTTATGTCATCGCTTCTGTCCGTATAGCGGATCATGCACTCATCGACGGCAAGGTGAGACCCCGGCAGGAATATCTGCATAGATACGGCTTGTATGTGGTCAGACCACTCTTCAACGCATTGGAATACCTTCGGAATAGGTGCGGTTTCGTCATATTTGGTGTGGTCAAAGGGACGAAGACGCCTGTGGATGAGCTGAAACTTGTTGTATGAGATGAACTTGATAAATGAGTGCGCAGGGCGTTGAACACCGGGCTTGGGGGGATTCCAATAGCTTCGTATCGTCTTTTCCTTATGCACATCCATATAGATTAGCACACCAATCATCGTCAACACCTCTGAGACCGTTGTTCCTTCCCATTTGTGCAGATATGAGGTCTTCCCCATCGGGTTATTCCAGCTGTCAACGACGCCGTTTTCTTTGAGCCATGTAATCCATGAATTAGTGTAAGATACCCATTTTTCAACGAGTGATATAGGTAGGAAAAGCTGGAATAGTTGTAGAGGCGTTGGAGGCAGTGGGCTGATGCGAAATTTGCGTATTTCTACGTGGAAAGGCTTGAAGTTGGTGCCCCGGTCATTTTCAGCCGGAAGATTAACGGCCTGGGTGGGGTCATCCTGCCACAAGCAATGACTGTGCTCTTCCTTGATAAAGCTATTGTCATCATAGGGGTTGATGACCTGTATCTCTTCTAGAATTGGAGGGGAAGTCATTGATGGTATCAAAATGAATTGATGGTGTTTTGGCGGGGAATTAGCAGGAATTCCTTCTGGGATTAAACTTTTCGTACCCCTCATGTACTTCCGGGGTTACCGGGGTCGGGTGGGTCTCGTGACATCTTGGGAGGGCTATGCGCACTCAGGAGATGGGGGGACGGTGGAGGAGCCAGATGGCAGGGCTAGAGTAGTGCGGGGAGGCGGCTGTCACCACTTAGCTACAACGTTTACGGTTGGCAGAAGTCATGAGACTCAGCTAGTCGGGACCTAAGAGAACTTAAATCGTTGTCCCACCCTCCTACCCACCCATCTAGTAATTAAATAGCAGATAGCTACCCATCTACCCCACTGAACCGTTCGCATCCCACTCGTCCTTGTTGCCACCCGTGCCTGTAGCCCTTGTTGGTGACGACTGGCCTTGTTCGTGAACTCGGCATCCCGCCAATCGTCTAGAGCGATAAAAGGGTAACGTACTTGATAAGCGAGCGTCGCAGTTAAGCGAGCGTCGCAGTTAAGCGAGCGTCGCAGTTAAGCGAGCGTCGCAGTTAAGCGAGCGTCGCAGTTAAGCGAGCGTCGCAGTTAAGCGAGCGTCGCAGTTAAGCGAGCGTCGCACCTAAACTGTGCACTAAAATCTAAAATCCTTAACCTTAATAAAAACCGCATTAAAATAGCTAGAAACTAAAAAACTAAATTTTTAGCTATTTAACTTAAAAATAAATTATATATAATTTTTTTAGATTTTTAAAAAATCCCCTATATAGAGAAAAAGCTATTTATACAGTGCGAATATATTTTTTTCTAAACTACCTTATAAGGGATTTTTTTAAAAATCCTAGAAAAATATATATAGTTCTTTATTTTATAAATAGCCTATAGCTAATCTTATAGGCTTATAGAAATTAAGCTAAATTTCCTAGAGTTTTTTAAAGGAATTTTCTATTTTAATGGGATTTATACTATAGGGTAAAAGTGCGACGCTCGCTTGTTTGCGACGCTCGCTTATCAAGTACGTTATTAGAAAAAGGAAGTTTCAGGTCCAAGGCCTCATCTCTCTTTCTTTACCAGTTTGGCACATTGCAATACCTTCCTATACCGCCATTCAACAAGTCGCAAGCATGGGCTCCCCCGCAGATCTTCCCCTGGCAACAAAGTCGTTACGGAGCCGAGCCGACCTTGAGGACTATGTTTACAACTTTAACGCGAACAACAAGGCTGCTTATGCAGCGTATTACTCTAAGAATACCGTGGTGAGTACAATGGCCAAAACTTTTCATGTTTAACTCTTACCTTTCCCCCATTAGTTCAAGTTCAGTACTTTCCCCGATAGGACCCTCGACGAGTTTCTGGCATGGGTAGATCAAATTCATGCTTGCATGCGTGAGACCCTAGGCCTGAAAAAGGTAGTCTTCGGCCAGAATGCCGTCGCTACCGAGATGCACACCCAGTTCCGTGGCATCAACGACTTCGAAACTGACAATCTGGATGGACGATGGGGGCCCGTGTGGCCAGGAAATGGCCCTCTTGTGAGGATGTTTGTCTGGTATACTCTGGACAAGGATGGCCACATCATTGAGGTGGCCGAGGAAGCCTCTCTGATGAAGGAAGCATCGCGGCACGTCATTCGGTCCAGAGGCGACTTGGACCACTATCTCCGTTCTTTCAACACAAACGACTTTGATACCTTTCCCCGGTACTACACACCTGACGTGACCATCATCCTCAACGGCGAACAGACTCTCAACGGCAAGGATGAGGCTGTCAACTTCTTTCGCAACGCGCGCGAAAAGGTGAACGAGGAGGTCAACGTTCAGTCTATCATCCTGGACAAGGACGGCGTCGCCATCAAGAGTGACATCAAGTTTACGGCCATTATGAATATAGAAGTATGTTGGAGACCTCTCAGCACTGGACAATAGATAACCATGACCAATAGGACATCCTCCACTTTGGATCGGGTGTGCGAAAGGGAGGAGGCTACAGGGTCCAGTTCTTGATCTATTACGAACTGACTCCTGAAGGAAAGATGCATCATATCACTGCAGCAAGCTGTGGACAAGCCAAGATTTTCAATCCTGTATAGCGGTCCAGTGCTACATGTACAGGAGTCCAGCTTCAGACTGGACGGAGGGTTGGCAGACTGTCGCATTTCTTTAGTTGTAGTTCCGTCAAGTTCATTATTCCTCCGATTATAGGTTGTACGGACAGAGACTCTCTTAACATTCGACAGTAGTTGGTTCTGCCTTGGAAATAGAGAGTACACTCAGTTGGCTCTAATGAGATGAGAATAGCGCGTTGCACAGTACTAGGACGATTTCAAGTGCCTACTCTTGTAGGTGGTTGACGTGTGCTTTTGCTAATGGTTGCTCTCCTATATGTACGCGTGTGGAAAGAAAGAGAGAGGGAAGTATGATGCGAATCGCGAAGCAGGGGATCTAGTAGGGAACTTTCGACGAAGTAACGCTCAGGGTCTCCATCCCTTCCTCCGTAACCTCAGTCCAAGTCGAGGCAGAGCGACGGACTCATCAAACTACGCAAAATCCCGCGGCTATGCCAAGTCAGGCCTGGATGGGTCGTCTTGAGAGCCGATGTCATAGAGACCAACAAGAACTAGGTTACCTATAGTCTCAGTCTACCCTTACGGCTGGCCGACCTCTACGATAGCTAGACGGATTGAGCTATGGGGCTCCAGGAGGCTGAGGTTGGTGCCGTTTATGAGGAGGGTGGCACAGCCCATTGCTTTGGTGCCGAAAATTGCTTGCCTTCACAAGGAATCGCAGCCGGGGCCGTTCCGACTCTGAAGTTTCCCTGGCCGTCGGTGATGCTCTGGCGATCCCACATCCGCCGGTGGGTGAGCGGGAAAGGACTTAGCCGCCGTGCCACCACCGGACCGAGGCACATTCATCTCCTCGGGTATAGGCTATAAATGTAGCCAGCTTTCAGAGGTGGCCTTATTCGCGCAGCCGACACGGGCATTACTCTTAGCAGAAGGCATCTGTGGCTTTGATTCGTCCCAATATTATCATACTCCTTCAATATGGTTAATCTTCATAGCCTTCCTCAAGGGTCGAGGCCCAACGCCGCAATTCGAAACAATGGACCGGATAGCCTGGCCCTTGAACGGCTAAAGCTTCGAGAACTAGCTGAGGGCTGGCCTTCGTACAGGTAATACAACCTTGTAGCCCCTTGCCTGGCCGTTGGATAGAGATGTTGACATTTCACTGTTAGAGATTCTTGTGAATGGGAAAACTTTGAGTCCATATTTCATCCCGGGGCCTACGTTTACACTACCTGGTCAGGGCGTGTTGCATACCAAGACTTCATCGCTGCGTCCAAAGCCGGCATGGATAAGGGCGCTTTCATCATGCATCGGTGCCACGGCTCAAGCACAGATATCAACGTCGATGGAACGCGCGCCGTTACGAAGCTCAAGGCCACAATCACACAGCGCTTCGAGGTAGGCGGTTCTGAGTTCGATGTTGAAGCAGACTGCCGGTTCTGCTTCTACTTCGAGAAGATCAACGGAAGCTGGGGGGCCCGCCTTGTTAAGCACTGGTATGAAAAGGATAAGATGATCCCTGTCAACCCAGCCAAGTTCCCTCAGGTTGATGAGGACAAGCTGAAGGCGTACCCGCCAGGCTACAAGTATCTTGCGTACTGGCAAGAAACCGCGATGGGTATCAAGGTACTGCTGGACATGCCTGGGCATAGGCGCCACGTTGGGACGGTCAATCTCGAGAAGCATGATGAACTGTACTGGTTAGCTAAGCGTTGGTTGGAGGGAGAACAGATTGAAGTCTAGAAGCAATCAAGTCAACTGATTTCCACGAGGAATATGCCCCTTCTTCACAATGAGCAACAATATATCAGGTGTAGGCTTGGAGCTCTGGAGCCCAACAGCCATCAAATGATCGCTTGACTTGTATTGTGACCCATCCTGCTCATGTACCTTGGATTATTTATACGTTGGACTTCAACTTTATACGCATATCGGCCCGCATCACCTCCACCGGTCTCCCCATCTCAAGTTCAAACGGCGCATGTCCCTTGGTCCTCCAAGACGGCGACCCAGGGTATAGACCTTCCAGCAGGGATACAAACCTGCGACAGCCATCATTCCCGTGACTTGTGGCCGATAAGCCATGCCAATCAAGACGCCTTCTGCCGTCTTTGAAAAGAGCTTTGCTCGGGGATTTTGCCCCCTCTCAGGTCGCCAGCTAGTACGCATCCAGTCCTGAGGGTGATGGGTGTACCTGAAATGATCTGGTTTGGTGGTGAGGTTGATAATGCTTGATTGATCTCAGTTCCCCAGTCCCACCCTACTGTGACGAGGGTATTTCGAACTATAAATAAACCGGTTATATTAAGTTTATTATTAATAAGTAAAGGCAGTATATAGTTTAAGTAAGAAGGTTATATGTAGTAATATATTAATCGGTACCGTAGATTAATATAACGTACATGATAAGCATGCGTCGCATCGAAGTATGCGTCGCACTTTTCCCTCTTACACCTAACTTTTCGTTTGACCAATTGATTCTTCAACCACGAAATATGTCGGACCCAAGTACTGAGGCTAGAACTCTTCTTGCCCTTCAAGCTCTTCAAAATAATTCGAAGCTAAGCATCCGACGTGCTGCAAAGCTCTATAAGATCTCTGAGCATAGGCTACGTCGCCGGCAGAATGGCATTCAGTCTCGACGCGATTGGATTCCAAAGTCACGCCGACTCTCTGATCTAGAGGAACAAATCATAGTTCAGTTCATTCTCGACCTAGATTCGCGAGGATTTCCCCGCGACTGCGTGGTGTGGAAGAAATGGCCAACCGATTGCTCGCCGACCGCGACGCGTCACCCGTCGGCAAGCGCTGGGCTTCCAACTTTGTCAAGCGGCACAAAGAGCTCAAGACGCTTTCGTAGATACGACTATCAGAGGGCCAAATGCGAAGGTCCGACCGTTATTCGCAACTGGTTTAGGCTTGTGGAGAATACAATCGCGAAATATGGTATCGACCTTGCCGATATCTACAACTTTGACGAGACTGGCTTTATGATGGGCGTCATTGCAAGCGGAATGGTCGTCACAGGCACAGAAAGACGCGGAAGACCGAAATCAGTGCAGCCTGGAAACCAGGAATGGATTACCGTCATTCAAGCGATCAATGCCGAAGGCTGGGCGATCCCGCCGTTCATCATAGGTGCGGGTCAATATCACCTCGCCAACTGGTACCGAGAAAGCAACCTGCCGGGCGAGTGGGATGTTGCAACGAGCCAAAATGGCTGGACCGATAACGAGATAGGTCTCGAGTGGCTAAAGCACTTTGACCAGTGTACAGCCAACCGATCAACTAGTCATTATCGTCTTCTGATCCTCGATGGCCACGAAAGTCACCACTCTGTATGCCACCTCATTCGTCTTATCTGCTTCACCCTCTTGACGTCGGGTATTTTAGACTGCTCAAGAAGGCTTATGGTCGAGAAATCGAGCATCTGATCAGATGCTGTATAACCCACGTTTCCAAGACCGAGTTCTTTCCGGCTTTTTACGCCGCGTTTCAAGCCACTACGACAGAAAGAAATATCAAGGCAGCTTTTAGAGGAGCTGGGCTTGTACCTTTTGATCCGGAAAGTGTGGTCTCGAAGCTTGACGTACAGCTACGGACTCCAACACCGGTTGAGGAGAAGGCTAGCCACCCTACACCTTGGGTCTCAAAGATACCAAAGACGGTGCTTGAGGCCTAATCTCAGTCTGAATACCTCGATAGGCGAATCAAGCGGCATCAAAGTAGCTCCCCAGAGTCAATCCTAGGAGCTCTTAAGTCTCTTGCTAAGGGAACCAAGGCAATACCATCTAGTACCCCTCACCCGGTCATACCCCTCACCCGGTCATACCCCTCACCCGGTCAGCCAAAAAAATATTCCTCCATACAAAATGCGATTTTTCATCATGCTGGCAAGAACCTGACAAAAATAGCAAAAATAAATTCATGTTTAGGATCAAGATCAGAATTGAATGTATTTTAATATCCTCTTGGTCTTTTAACTGCGCGGCCTGCGCGGGTCCGTACAACTGGTAATTCTTCCGCCTCCGAATCTGAGCCCTCATCCTCTTCCACCCCTCCCACCTCGATCACCTCCTCAACAGATTCTGCCTCTTCAATTGCTTCGTTTGACTTGGAAATAGTCTCACCAGCCACTAGAGCCTCGGCTAGTGTCATGAACTTCCTGTTGGGATTCGGTATCGCTCTTCTCTTCTTGCCTCTGCTCAACCGCCCGACTTCCTCCTCTAAACTGGCTACTCTTGCGCTCAGCGAGGCGATCTTTGACTCTTGTGCTTCGAAACCCTTCGATATCACAGAATAGCGCCTTCTCGTTGAGGGGCTCTTGTTCTTCCCCAGATCCCTGATATGACGGCTGGTCTTTGGCGTGTTATCAGAGTCGCGTTGCCCGTCGCTCGGGCCATCTGATGCAGGTGTAGTTTCCTTCTTGTCTGGCTGAATCTCTGGATGTATGAGTGCTTTCCGTCGTGAAACCGGCCAGTTTCCAGTCACTCGCCAGCCCGAGAGGATGTTCTTCTTCGTCATACCCACCTCCCTGGCTTTGGCATAGGCCCTGATGAAGTTGACCTTATCCACCGGCGCAGAGTCGGTCAGGCTTGTCAGCTTTTGGAGTTCTTTGCGATAGGCAGCCTTGGATGCATTGAATGGGCCATTGTCGAGTGGCTGTAGGCCGTGGGAGCAGTGAGCTGGTAGGTAACAGCAATACACATTGTTCAAAAAGCACGTAGCCATCCACTCATCCTAGATTGGGAGTCAGCGACATTTTTGGTTCAGAAAGTTCGGAACAGGCAGATACGCACAGATACGTGGCTTCGATGGCCATCCAGTATGATAAGCCTCGCATCAGACTCATCTTCCGGTTGCGTTTGGGGAAGATAGACCTCTCTGAGCCACTCGGCTGCGATGTGGTTGTCTGTCCAGCCGTTGTCGGACGTGATGTAATACCAGTCGGCCACCTCCCTGAGCTTATCGATAAACCACTGTTGCTGAAGCTCTTTGCCTTTGAATATAATCCCCGGTTTCAGAAGACGGCCAGTTGCAGTCGCGGCTTCGATAAAGCTAGTCCAAGTGCGGGACTGAGAGCCCTTGAGGAAGGTCTTCCTCCTGGGGTCGCTACTGCCAATAACCAAGGAATCCAAGCCTATGTTCCAATGGATTAGCTCATTCAATGGCCAGAACGACTGATGCTCACCAAATCCGGCCATGATACCGCCCTCGTCAACGTTGACAGTGTTCTCGGGTTTGATCCAGCCATATTCCTTCTCCCGGATATCAAAGTACCAATTGACGGCGGTCGGGGTAAAACAATTAAATCTCGACGCCTCCTAGCGTTTTCCGATCTTCGTCTTTATGGACGGATGCCGTTTCATGAACCTGGCTAGCCAATGTACACCGATAGGCCGTTCCCTGCCTTGTTGTCGTAGGAGGGCAGCGACGGTGGCACGGACTTGACTGTGGGACGGAGCATAGCCCAGGGCCTCTTGCCGGAGTATCCAGGTTACCAACCTGGTCTCTTGGGACTTAGATAACAGCTGGGCAGGATGGGTGACTTCAGGTTTAGGCGGTATGCCTCTTAGTCGGTCAGAGAGGGTAGTCTAGGGCATGCCATGCTTCTGGGCGGCCTCATGCTGCGAGAGTCCATTATCTATGACATCCAGCATAGCTTCAATAACATCATCCTCTGTATAAGGCGTCTGGGGCATTTTGAGCGTCGTTTTGGGAGGCTAGTGTAGAGAAAAATCCGATGAGACCTGGCGGAGGGAGGGTGATGAGGGAGGCGTTTCAAGACAGTTTATATTAGTGCCATACGGCTATACCGCATGCGTCACTGGGGAAGCAACGTTAAAATGTTAAATTCCATGCAATTTTCAATAGAATAGACATTTTTCCATGCTGATAGCTTCGCTTTTGTTCAAGAACTGTTCAAATGAAAAATCGCATTTTGTATGGGGGAATATTTTTTTGCTGACCGAGTGAGGGGTATGACCGGGTGAGGGGTACCAGATGGTAATGCATGAGAATGCTTTACTAAGGGCTGAGAACCAAGACCTTCGACAGGCAAATGCGATACTAAGCCGCCGGCGGAGGGCAAAAAGAACCCGATTACAGAAAGGAGGGGCAATGATAGTAGAGGAAGGAAGGCAAGCAATTAATCAGATAGATGGTGATACGCAGGTGGTGGCCGAATCGTCGAGAAGTAATGGTCAACGAAGGTCAGCGCAAGCGAAGGAAAGGCAGTGTGTAGTATGCGGTAAGACCGGGCATAACGCAAGAACATGTCAGATAGTTGTCGCCATGTCTGAAGAAGAACACAGCGATTAGTTTTAATTGATTTAGTGGTCTGTTATGTTTTTGTGGTGATTTTAATCTTAAATGTTGAGATTTTTGTCACGCATACTTGTTTGTCACGCAAGCTTATCATGTACGTTACAGTAAAAAAAATATTAGTAGCTCAGCCGGCGTTTTTCATAGGTGATAGGGCTTATATTATATGACGCTACTAGGTTTTGGTCCGGCGTGATGCCATGTTGGATGATAGGACATAGCACAGAACCTCAGTCATGCTTCAACACCAAGACAGTTTTCTCGCAACCAGGGCCAGTACGCCTCGCCAGCCCACCGCGAGAGGCGCTATTAGCACTATACAGCCTTATACGGGCCCATAACACCAGAGGAAGACCCAAAATGGCTTCTCAAGCCATAGAACCGTCTTGTGTTCCTCTCTCGTTGCAGTACCGAGGCCCCAGTCGTCCTTGAATGACGACGCCTGGTAGAAAGGGCACCCACCACAGCAGTTGACAAGATGCTGCAGAAATCGCCACTATGCCGAGTGCCATGTCCCTAACTGTAGCTACACTTTCTCCGACTGGGCTCTGGCCCGGCTCCGGTTTGGATGCTGATGGCGATGGGTTGCTTGCGACAAGGTTGAAGTTCACTATAGTTGATCACCTGTCACTGCAGAGAGCAGCGAAGCGTCTAAATGGCATCAGAAGCAACCTGATCGGCGGCGGGATTTAAGTACACGAAAAAAAATCCACTATCTTGGCTTGCGATGTTGTGGGAAGATGCTCCTGAGTGATGTTTGCTGTTGTGCATGGCGCGAAACTAACAGGTTGATTCGTTCGCGTAGGCCGTAGATTGCCCAGTACAAGAGATGGTAGTGGTCCATCATGTTCTATCCTGACTTGCTCTGCCTCGATACTTAGCATCCTGCGGCCTCCTAAACAAGACGGGTTGCCTCGTGGGTCGGGGAGTTGGTTCCAGTTGATGGCAATCTACCACAGGAACAAACATGTGATCCATAAGGACGCGGAATCTGCCATGTCTCTTTGCCTCTTCTCTGATCTCGGCTCGCAAATCGCTCTTCAAGATAACAACTCGACTGCCGCTACAGTTCCGCAGCTCCTGCAGCAAGTCGCAGAGGGCGGGCGGTAGGGATGGGTCTGCCAAGGAATGGTTTCGCTGCTTGACGCCGTCGGGGCAGGGTTCCAGGCTGGAAACCTGTTGGGATGGCGAGTACCGGACCGAGGCTAATGATTGTGTGTCTGAAGCGGTCGGGGTCGGGTCCGGCGCAGGAAGAGAGGATGTCGGCGATGCGGGGTGTAGGTATCCTAGACAGTGCCGGCTGCTTTTTGGTGCACAATCTGCCCCTTGGGCGCTGATGACTCGGCGTCGTTCATGGGTAGCCGCTTCTTGGATGACTTGGGCGGCGACGGAGAGTGGCGTTGATGCGGGTCGGTCGGCTTTAGATCGGCCGGCTGGGCAGTATCGGATGCACCGTGGGTTGTCGGTTGAGCCTGTAAGAGTTAGCTTGCGATGACTTGATGTTTCATTCTGTCTGTCGTATGGTTGCGGGCTCGTTTGGAGCTTCCGCCGCAAGTTGCTCACTGTTGTATCGAGGGGTTGATGCATCGAACGCCCGCCGGCTCTCGAGGATAGTCAATGCTGCAGGACCAAGCGCGGTAAAGGCAGGTGCATTAAGCCCGTAGGTGCTGACGAGTTCATGCTTGGTTTGAGCCATTTTCGGCCATGCTAGGTCTTCCAAACCAACGGGCTATTCCTGTCAACATAGATCACGGCGGGCTTGCCCACGTTTCAATCAACAAGCCTCAGTAATAACTCCAGTCTGGTCATCTGTGCATAAATTCCCCTTTCTATGTAGACACTCTTTCCATTGCCAACTCAGCGCAAGCCGGAATCGTGCGCGTATGAGAATACGAGACTCTGCAGACCGCTCCTCAGACCCACGGGTGGATCACGTTTCAAGAATACCACGATATTGCAGCCCAAAATGCCTCAGAAACACGTCAAACGTAAAGAATATCCACAGCCAGCGGCCCAAAACGAGACCGGGACCTGTTGATCGCGGGGCCGGGCCGTACAAAAAACCCGAGATTCTACTTGTCGCCGGCCGATCGCCCAAGACGGATCACTTCGAGATGCCGAGAGCGGGTTCCGATCTGCAAGAGCCCGTGCCCAGCCTCCGCTGTATGTATATTGGCGGCCCTTCAACGGCCGATCTTATCTCCGATTAACACCTCGTGAGATGATGAAAACCAGGGGTAATTCCCTCCGGGGTGGGAACCCCAGCCTCGGATGTCGTCGGATAACGACGCCGCAACAGAGGCTAGATTAGAATCCTCAACGCCGCGGGGAACCCTGTAGAGGCGTCAAGGTTGTCTAATCAGCAGCTTGGTAGAACGCCCTCTTTGCTAGAGGGTCTGGGACCCGAAACTAGCGACGTGGCAGTGGCATATCTCGGCGGGGAGGGCTTCTGGTGGGGCTGAATCTTGGTGGGGCAGTGGATGAGATCGGTGTTTCCCCAGCTTTTCTGTCCAAAACTCTCCTGAATCCCATCTCCTCAAGTTGGTCATTCACACGGGTTGGTTGGCTTAGCCTTCCCTTTTGCGATTACTACGCCTCATGGCAGATACAAGCCCTGAAAAATTCTTAGTGCGTGAGGGGTTGCCTAGGTAGAGTAATCTTTAGTTATAAATACCCATCCCTCCTTGTTATCGTGACTATTCCACCACTCATCTCTCTCTCATTTCTCGCTATCGACAGTGACTTGTCGGCTCGAATCATATCTCGATCTCCTGGCTCTTACACTCATCCACTTCAAACATGCTGGTAGACACTGGTCTGGGGCTCATCAGCGAGCTCCAAGCCAAACTTGGCTGGGCTGTCCTCCTTCAGATCGTCCCTATCACCATTGTCGCCTACAATCTTCTCTGGTTCATCTACGCGTCCTTCTTTTCGAGTCTGAGAAAGATCCCTGGTCCTTTTCTTGCGCGGATATCCCGAGTCTGGGAGATGAAAAAGACGGCCACTGGAAACATCCACGAGATCATGATGGATCTACACCGACGTCACGGTGAGTCTGTGGCTTGGAATTGGCAGTCCTTATACTTACCATATCTTTTTACCAGGAGCCATCGTTCGAATAGGACCGAGGCGGTACGACTTTGACACCATGGAAGCTCTCAAGATCATCTACCGCATTGGCAACGCCCTCCCCAAAGCCGACTACTATAAACCCTTTGGCCTGCCGTCGTTCCCGAATCTTTTCGACGAGCAAAACCCCGCTCGTCATTCAGCGATAAAGAAGCAGGTTGCCTCTCTGTACACCATGACGGCGTTGCTATCCTACGAAGAGGGCGTCGACGGCCAGACGGCCATCCTGAAGGAGCAGCTGCAGAGGTTCTGCGACCAGAAGCAGGTCATTGACCTGCCTCGATTCCTCCAGTACTATGCTTTTGACGTCATTGGAGTTATTACGGTGAGTTCACTGTCACAAGCGAGCCGTGGAGCATTATCTGACATGTGTTTCTGCTAGGTTGGCAAGTCGATGGGCATGATGGAGTCGAACTCGGATACAAACGGTGCCTGCAGTGCCCTGGACGGCATGTGGCACTACGCTTCCATGATGGCTTATATACCAAACATGCACGCCTGGTGGCTGCGTCTCTCTTCACTCCTACCGATCGAAGTCCCCATCAAGGGCCTGACCGAGTATGTCGAGCGACGAATCATCCAGTACAGGCTCAAGGCGGCCGAGTTCGGTGACGATGCCGCACTCAAGGGCGAGAACAACTTCCTGGCCAAGCTGCTCCTCATGGAGAAGAAGGGAACGGTCACTCCGGTAGAGACTCAGCAGGCTGTTGGTCTGAACATTGGGGCTGGGTCTGATACGACAGCGAATGCTCTGAGCACTATCCTGTACTACCTGTACACAAACCCACGTACTCTGCACACTCTTCGAGAGGAGTTGGAAAGATATGTTAAGGACGGCCCCATTAGTTTTCAGCAATCGCAGAGCATGCCTTACCTACAGGCGGTTATCAAGGAAGCCCTGCGGCTGCATCCGGGTGTGGGCACGCAACTGACGCGAGTCGTGCCAAAGGGTGGCCTGGTCATCGAGGGACAGTTCTTCCCCGAGGGTGTAAGTCGAATCTGTCTGCCTCAAGTGTTGAGCTCAAACTAATGATGAGCAGACTGAGGTTGGTGTCAACGGATGGGCTCTATATCACAACAAAGCGATCTTTGGCAACGATGCAAGCATATTCCGCCCCGAGCGGTGGTTGGAGGCAAACGAGAATATCAACATTGGGGGATCTTTCGCGGTAAGTGACCTTGGCATCACAGTATTAATCGGTGGTAACTGACGCCTCTGCTGTACAGTTTGGAGCCGGTTCCCGATCCTGTATTGGCAAGAACATCAGCATCTTGGAAATGTCAAAGGCCATTCCCCAGATTGTCCGGAACTTTGATATCGAGATTAACCACGGGGATATGACATGGAAGAACGAGTGTTGGTGGTTTGTCAAGCCTGAATACAAGGCCATGATTAAGCCTCGAAGATGCTGCCTATCAAGGGATGAATCCTTAGTCTAGTGTATATCTTTTGCATTCTACCACCTGTCAAATGCACCGGCCTGGAATGTTGAAACTTTTGGACTCCTCCCTGCTACAATCAGAGGTATCCTGCACCATTGCCAGCCTCTCACAACTCCATTCTCTTGCAGAGATGGTCGGGCCCAGCCCTAAATCAAGTCGTTTAACAAGTGTGCCTGAAACTCTGGTCATCTGTCCTTGGGAGTCTGTTCAATTACGAGGTGGAAAGTGAGCGCTCCCCATCTGAAGCCCCATCTAATCATCTTCAGTAAGTGGGCAAGGGTAGGTATGCGAGCATTGCCGTCCCTACCTGGATCCATTGTGACAAGCATTGACACTCATCAGTCAACGATAACAGCCCTCCATTATGCCTCCCCTGGTCAAGCCTGGGTCCCCATTACCCCCGCATCCCACACTCGGGAAGTCAGACGTTGGCCCACATTGGTGGGTACCGAGGAAAAGCAAACTCGGATGCTGGGAAGACCCATTGTACAAGTGAGCAAAAGAGAATATGCCCTCCAAGAGCCGAGCCCTACCGGTATTGGTACCCATCACCTTGACAGATACAACCAGCCGTGGCCAGGCCAGCATGCAAGGTGGGGATAGCTTCCCCGCGTTCTCCCACATGAGCCACCCTTAGCGCAACCCCGGATGTCGGGAATTACATCCGCTTGCAGGTATTTGCATACCCCGGATCTAATATAACCACTTGAAGAGTCTCGGCTACTTTGCTTCACGAACCTTCTTTGCTAACTCTAGCATTGAAACTTGATTGTGTTTAACCCCTATTGCCTATCCAAGTTCAAGCAATGTCGGAGCATCGCGACAAGGTCGACGACGAGCCCAACGCAGTTGGGGTTGAACTCCTCGCTGCGAACGAGGATGAAAACTACCAAGGGCTTACATTGAAATGTGTTCTGGTCTATCTGGTAAGGCTTTGGCAAACTCCTCGTGCACAGGGCTAATCAGACCAGTCTATTCTTATCGGTTGCACTGCACAGGTACTCGCTATTGTTGCAACTGGCGCGGTAAGTCTTGACTATTCCTGGATGCGTACTGTTGCAGCTTACTCATGCCGGCATCAGTTTGCGAGAAACGTGGCCGCCAGCGTCGGTGAGCAAGACAAATATATCTGGATCCCTCAAGGCCTGATCATCTGCGTTACCTTCACGGCAGCCCCAATTGCGCAGGCGTCGGATTTCTGGGGTCGCAGAGTACCCATCCTCATTTCCACAGCCCTCTGCTTCATCGGTTCGCTTCTGATAAGCAGGGCGGTTTCCATGACCATGGCGATTGCTGAGTGCTGCTGGTCGGTGTAGGATCAGGATCGTCCTCATTACTGTATGCAGTTGCATCAGAGATCATGCCGAGGCGATATCGACCAATCGCTCAAGCCGGAGTCAACATTGCCAATTCACTTGGAGGAATATTCACACTGCTCGCCGGCTTCGCTCTTGTCAAGAAGAGTGACGAAGGCTTTCGGGTTGTCTAGTACATTAGCACAAGATTTTTCGCCATCAACTTTATCGCTATCCTGTTCCTCTTCAAGCCGCCCAAACGGCCCCTCGAAGTATCTTTGAGCTTTCGGCAGAAGCTCAAGGCTCTCGACTGGATAGGATACATGCTATTCTCTATCGGAATGATTCTGTTCAGCATGGGCCTGACATGGGCCAACAACCCCTATCCCTGGAAGGATGCTCATGTGCTCAGCACCTTTATTGTCGGCGTAGGTTTTATCGCCCTCACTGTCATGTGGGAGGTCAAGAAGAAGGACGGATTCTGTCACCATGCTCTTTTTGAAACGAGCCGCAACTTCGCCCTTGCGCTTATCCTTGTTTTCGCCGAAGGAGTTGCATTCTACGCTGTCAACAACTTCCTCCCTTTCGTATTTTCGCTCTTTTTTGAGACCGATCAATTCAAGGCCGGGGTTTTGGTCTCCATCGTCTTCATTGGCGGGGCAGCTTCATCCGTGGTTGGCGGCCTTTACTCTTCAAAGACAAAAAGGGTTCGACCGCCCTTGATGGCTGGAATGGGGCTCTTTCTCAGCTATTTTGGTAAGAGTGTTTACTCTTTTGCTTCTTCACTCGTGGCTAACTACAGTTCTCTGCCAGCATGTATGGCTACCATCAAGCTCAACCAGTCAGCTGCCATCTGGGGCTTTACGGTTCTGGCAGGCCTTGGTCTTGGATTCGGCCTTGTCAGTGCCGTCACGACGGGCCAGATTAGCACTCCACCAGGTCTTATTGCCACCACTAGTGGCCTGATCTTGACTGCGAGGTCTTTGGGCGGCTCTGTGGCTCTTCCTGTCTACACCGCCATCCTCAACTCCCTATTATCCAAAAATCTCGGCCCCGAGATAGCTGAGAGAGTTCTTCCTCTTGGGCTCTCTGCTGATAACTTATTGGATTTATCAGTGCTTTAGCCAACGACGATCAACAAGCTCTGGCCACTATTCCAGGCGTCAACCCCGACATCATTTCCGCGGGACTTATTGGATTGAAAACGGTCTATCTCATAGCCTTCCGTGGCATCTGGAGTGCTGCAGCAGCAATCTCAGCCGTCGGTTTCATACTCGCCATTTTTGTTACTGATCCTCGCAAAAGCTTCAATATGCACGTGGATGCGCCCGTGGAGCACGAACTTGCCCTCAAGCTTCATGTGGGCCGAGAGCCAACTAAGACGAGCAACGAGACAGCTGGAACAGCAAATGACACACTTGACACTATCGGCAAGGTAACTGGAGAGAAGAACTGAGGCGGGAGTTTGGCTCGGTCACAAGGACGGCAAGGTGCACGAGGAGACAAGTAGGTAGTCAGGGGCTTGTGTATTTCCCCGAAATCCCTAGTAGCCCTACGCTGCTCTGTGTCCACAAGGACGTCCACGCTTTGCGACCATGATACCCTGTAACATATCATCCGCATGAGGCTGAGAATCAAGCATGCTTAATTGAGTGGCTAAATATCAACAAGTGCCATCACTATTGAAAGAGTAACCCTTGGCCTCAAGCTGTGTGATGGATGAATTGATGAAATGCGCACGCCTTCGTAATACCGGCGAGTAGAAGGGACAGTTCACAAAACGACGATCGACACCTTCATCATACAAACTGTAACATAGTGTTGTGAACCGTTCCCCATCCCCCCGGAGGGTACTAAGGGAGGCGGCGGGCGGGCGGATACCCCCTGTCCGTCCAGACTTGATCGGTACAGAAGCCGACTTATGCGTTATCAAGGCTCTAGGATGTGGCCGAGTTGTAGATGTGGCCGAGTTGTAGTAGTACAGTGGGTCTCAAAAAGTAACGACACATACCGGGTCCACCCGGGGTATCAATACCACCACCAAATGAGGCCTCATTTTCAGTCACTTATTGCGCAGCCAAAGAAGGGCCAATTGCATCGTATTATATACCAATCTATAGAGAATTAAAAGCTGTATCTTTTGTTGTATCTAATACTTAGTATACCAGCCACGGGCTCGTACGACAGCCTGCATTCTTCGCTTCATTGAGTAGACTAGGTTATTAATAACCTCGGGCTCAATCTCAAGCCACAGCTCTTTCGCGGCTTCAATAAGAGCCTGCTTTGCTTGGTCGGTCTTTGGCATATATGTGAGCTCTGGATATCGCTTGCAAATCCTCTCTTTAAGGATTGACCATAGGTTTTCTATGGGGTTGAGATCAGGGCTGCAAGGAGGCCAGTCAACCACGGTGGCCCTTCGATTCTCACACCATTCGTACAGCCAGTCTCGTACGATATGAGCCGTAAAGGTGCTTGCATTGTCGTGTTGAAAGTAACTGTTTCTTGTCACGATTCGAGGAAGGTATCGCTGTAAGCAGTTAATAATGATTTGTGCCGTAACCCCCCCCGCGAGGGCTTTCTGGATCGCCGGCAAGGGGGATCATTGGAAGCCGCCTGTGATAGTTGAAGGCGCTAAAGAACATCTGCGAGTGCCTTGTCGGTCGTACGCGAGTCTGAACGTTCTTTTTGAATAGCCTCTCGTACTAGAAATAGTCAGAAAGTTCGCAATGGCAAAAAGAAGATATACCGGTTTACAGAAGACCCACGTACGCCTCTGGCCCTCTCCTCGAGCTATAATAACTTCATCAGAGAAGGTCCAAGACTCCCAAAAGTCCTCAGCCATATGCACATAGCGGCGTGCGAAGCGTAGACGCTTTCTTGCGTTATCCTCACTAAGGAAGGGCCGAAGAAGAGACTTATAATGCATGATTCCTTCTTTGCGTAGGTATGAGATTAAGGTAGCCCTACAGCAGCTCAATCCAGCTTCCTCGATTAATTCACGTATCTGAATATGAGGATCTTGGGCAATGACTCTCAAAATTCGCCTCCTTTCCCGGTCTCCAATGATGCGCGGCCGGCCGGACTTGGGTTGGTCCGCGGCACTCTCTTGGTCGCGATATCTTCGTACGATACCGTAAATGGCATGCCGAGAGACGCCCTCTTCCCGCGCGATCTGGCTAGCCGACACGCCCGAATTGTATCTCCAAACAATCCTCGTTCTCGTATGAGGAGAATGATGTCTTTTTAGGGCCATTCTGACTTGATTTGGCTGCGTGGTGAACAATTGAAGTTGGTGATGATTTTGGTCAAGGTAGAAGGGAAAGCGGGGTACCGGAAAATGTGTCGTTACTTTTTGAGACCCACTGTAGTAGGTTTTATTACGCCCGGGAGAACTAATCTCATAGGGCCGTTAGATACGCTTTGCCATTTACACTTCCGCCGTCTTGATCCTGACCACAAAAGAAAACCCCACTTCTCTCTCCGGTTCTTTTTGTTCCAGCCTCGCTTGGCTCTATTTGACAGACCTGCTTGGAGGACGATTTCTCCAAGTGTTCAGCATCCAGGTGGGTACTGCATGGTACTAAAGGGAGTAGTTTTATTGGGGTTGCCTCACGTGACGACCACACTGCAGAATAGGCTTCCCGGCTTCGGAGGGCTTCCTGAGGGGTTTCTTCCCTCCTGCAACTGCCTCACGGGAATCAATTGTTCGCCTCTACAAGGTCCTCGTCATCTCTCACGTAGTCAAGACCCGACTTTTCCCCTCCCATCTTCCCTCTGTATATAGAACTACTGCAATATACAGACACTTGCCAACTTCAATAGTATTGGCGGGGTGAAGGTGGAGGTGGAATTGATTGCTAGCCTGCTAACGATTATTACCCGTTGGATCATGTGGGGCTAGGGCCCTAGGCGATCTAACCTAGCAAGCTAGGTTGGCCAAAAAATTGCGGGACAGCCAGAAAACTGCGGGACAGCCCCTCACTGTGACGCGTCCGAATTTACATGCATTTCACACCTAAAAACACCACAAAAAGAGACACAAGACGGTGTAATCCAGTGCATTCACGTCCCTCTTCATTATGAGTGCCGCAAATAACCTTAAGGCCGCGAGGGAAGTGATCGCATCACGTGCTAGGGTCGCCAACCGGCCACATCGCGCTGCTTCCTCCGGCATCACCAAATCAATCTCTGTCAGAGCCGCCACGGCCAAGCATAAGGCTTCTTCTTCTTCTGCCGTTGATCGCCTTATCAAGAAGCTCGAGAACCCTGATTCCGTGAGGCCGAGAGGCCGCCCGCGCCTCCTCACGAACGAGGAAGAGGATGCCATCGTCGCCTTCGTCACCTGGACGGAAAAGGCCGGCTTTCCTGCCTCCAAGGCTGAGATTGAGGACGCCGCCAACACCCTTCGCCGCCGTAGGGACCCAGAAGCGAAGCCTGTGAGCAAGATGTGGTACTCAGGCTTCCGTGACGATCATCCGGAGCTGCAGAAGACCTTCCTAAAGGCCGTCGATAAGTCTCGTGAGTCTTGGGAAGCAGGCGGCATCACCGACCTAAAGCAATAGTTCAAACAGCTTACAGAGGCCACCAGGAGATTCGACATCCACGCCTCTGAATACTGGAATGCCGACCAGGCCGGGATCCGAGTTGGCTGCTTGCGTGAGCGGATACAGTGCCTCGTCGTCCGCACAAAGAAGAAGACACGCACCCAGGTGCTCGACCCGTCAAACCGCGAGACCTGCTCTCTTATCGGTACGGGTAACGCGGTGGGCGATACAGTACCGCCGTGGGCCATCTTCAAGGCATTCCCTACACTAGATTACGCCTATGTCGATGCCGATCCGCAGATACGCTTTGCAAAGTCAGACACTGCCTTCTCTAACGGCGAGATTACCTTCGAGTGGGCGCAGGCGTTCAACCGATACAGCTGGGAGAAGTCTGCGAGGGTGCAGAGCCGCGGGAAGCCTTTCGTAGAGTGGTTTGGTTGCGATGAATTCCTTCGTGATCCAGTCAGGCAGTACATTCAACATCACATTCCTCCTATTTCTCATAGTCCAGGTGAAGAGCTTTGGCGACTTCTTATCCTCGATGGCTTCGGTGGACATGGCCTCTTCGCCTTCCGCGAGTATTGCCTCAAATTCCAGATCCTCGTGATTCCTTTGCCTTCTCACTCTACGCATTTCCTCCAGCCGATGGATGTAAGGGTCTTCCAGCCGATGAAGAACGCACATCAGAGGATTCTTCGCCGAGCTTTACGGAAAGGCAATATCTCCTTCTCGCGCCTTGACTTCGTCAAAGGACTGCAGGCTAGTTAGTCAATATCTCACGAGAAGACCTACTAATCGAGGCGTGACTTCAGGAGATGATAGACCGCGGCTTCACTAGGAAGAATATCATATCAGGGTTCAAGAAATCCGGCATCTTTCCCCCTAACCCCGATCCCGCGCTGGCCTTCCTCCTCAAGCAGCAGATGAAGGCAAAGAAAGCAGTCAACCCTGCCTTTGCTTCCCTTCTTCCGTCGGAAACACGCTTCCAACGCGCCTCTGATACCGCAAAACGCGTCACAGAGGAGTATTTCGATATATTCTCCTCCCCAACGCGTGCGGGGCTCCTAGAAGTCCGCAAGGTCGTCACGGAGGCCGTTCTTCTCGAGGAGACAGTAACTATGTATGTGGATGACCGGCGAAGTCGTATTGAGAAGAGATATAACCAGATGAAGAGAGGGAAGAGGGCCAAGCCCGTTGGCGACTACAGGCACAACGTCAGTCTTCAGGAGCTTCGTGACCAGCAAGCAGAAGTCATCGCCGCCAGAGACCCAAACAACTCAACGTAATCAACGAGTTGATCAACGAGTTGATCAACGGCCAACTCAACCAACTCAATGGAGGACTTTATTAGTAAGCTGCCCAACTCAATATCACCTTGAAATTGATGGATCTCGTTGATTTCGTTGATATAAATTGGGTCTACTAGCCACTGTTAGTGACTGTAACTGCGGATTGGTATAAATCCTAACAGCGACCCGTAACTAAGGCTATGTGTGGCTTGTACGTATGGCAGATCACCTAATTTCCCTGGCCGCCACCTCCTTTTAGCCTCTGTTCTGCCCTCAATTCTGCTTCTGACTTCCACATAGATTTCAACAGCTACACCGATTGCATTGCGTAACTAGCTCAGGATGAGTATTTTATCAGATTCTGACGCCATCACTGCTATTGACGATAATGGAAATTTTAGGTCGTCTCCAGCGCCTTCTACAGCTTTCACGCCATTCTCGCCAGCACGACGTTCTAAGTCCACCTCGCCAGATTCCACTACCAAAGAGCGGCAATATGAAGAATCTCTTTGGCGCCATTTCCCCGGCTTCACGTGGTCTCAAAGGGTTAGAGATACTAATTCCTGGGCCTGGGAGTATGGGTACGATATCCAGAAAGGCAACGACAGGAAGTGGGTTTGCAAAATTTGCATCCACAAGAACACTCTTAAGCCAAAGACCTTCACATCAACGGGCATCCAAAATACCCTAAACCACCTCTATGACGATCACAGGATTTGTGCGCCTGAAGGGAAGACGAAATCAGCCTCGCAGCTAAGAGCAGAGGGCCGGAAGGCCAAGGGACAGTCAACCATCGCCGAGCTGATGAAGCTTGATACCAATAAGCCCAGAGAACAAGCAATTGCGAATGGCTTCATTAAGAACTTCGACAAGAAGTTTTTCCAACGACTTCTAATGGAATGGATCGTGGAGGCCAACCTCTCGTTCGAAACAGCAGAACACGACAAGCTCAGGAAGATTTTCGCATATCTGAACCCTTGCGTGAAGCTCTCTGACGCCAATCTTTCCGCAACCTCTATTCGCAGGAAAATCGTGGCATCATACGAACAGCACAAGACGAAGGTTATGGAGGTCCTTCAGAGCTCTCCCGGCCTAATTCACGTCTCCTTTGATGGCTGGAGGTCCGGAAATCGGCACGCGTTATATGGGATTATGTGCTTCTTCCAAGACGAGAAAAACAAGCCCCGCAAAATCGTCCTTGGAGTACCCGAGGTCTCTACTCGCCATTCTGGCACAAATATTGCAGCAGAAGTCCTCGAGATTATCGATTCATATGGTATAAAGAATAAGATCGGGTATTTCACGCTTGATAACGCCGAAAACAACGATTCAGCAATGGCTGTGATCGGAGGAGAGTTGGGCTTCGTTGGACGCAAGCGCAGAGGTCGATGCTTTGGCCACATACTCAACCTCTCTGCCAAAGCATTGCTTTTTGGCTCCAATCCAGAGGCATTTGAGAATCAGCTTTCCGGCGCAGCAGCGTTATCTGAAACTAAACACGATCTTTGGAGGAGGAGAGGGCCAGTCGGGAAGCTCCACAACCTCGTTGTTGACATCGACAGATCTAATGTGCTGACTTACCTTCTTCGAGGTGTTCAGCAGGCTGATATGGACCAATCTATCGATCCGAGAGTTCGAGCGAGGAAGCCTCTGAACATCGTCGTCGATAACGATACCAGATGGCTGTCCCAGCTCTACATGATCCGCCGCGCGATCAAACTCCGTCCTTACCTCGATGTGATGATTCTTAAACACAAACAAGCTTAGGAGCAGGACAATAGGTCAAAAAGGACGGGCCTGATGAGGAGGTCGGCTGTTCAACCGCGAATTTGCCTATCCGAAAACCAGCTTTCAGACAAGGACTGGGACGTCCTCGAACACCTCGCCACGATTCTTAGATTCTATGAGGTCACCGTCAAAACCCTTGAGGGAGACGTTATTCAACGCAAACGGAAGAGAGGGTGGGTCGGCTCGTACGGAAATATCTGGGATATCATCCAAGGCTTCGAATTCCTAATGGCAAAACTGGAGGAGTACAAGGCAGTCGCGGCGGATTATCCTGATCCCGAACACTTCAGGATCAACATCAACCTAGGGTGGCAGAAGCTCAACAAATACTACACAATTCTCGACGAGACACCAATATATTACGTGGCGTTGGCTCTCCACCCTGCGTATCGATGGGGTTGGTTCGAAGAACACTGGGGAAAACATCCGGATTGGATCGCAACTGCGAAAGAGATGGTTCAGGAGGTATGGGAGACCGAATATCGCAACCTCGAGGTGGTATTGAGCCCAGGAAATGAGCCCGTTGCTAAACGGCGAAGGAAGTACCAAAATGCCTTCGAGGAATACTGCGAACAGTCACGATACCAGCCATCAAGCCGGTTATCGACGCCTACGACCACGCCAGCGAGGATGAGGTCTTCTGCGACTCCTGAGTCCCCGAGGGACGAGTACGAGGCGTGGCAACAAAGCTGGCTTCCAACAGACACCGATATTCGAGACCCCATCGCATATTGGCAGGATAACCGAGCTCAATATCCCCGCCTCTCTCGAATGGCTCTTGATTTCCTCACGATCCAGCCGATGTCAGCCGAGTGCGAGAGGCTCTTTTCTGCCGCAGGTCGATTAGTGACCCCCCTGCGCAGCCGCCTCGAAGTCGATATAATCGGGATGTGTCTAGTGCTGCGTTCGTGGCTACAAGCCAAGATAATCGACGACCTGGATCCTCTGTTCGTTCCCACGCAAATCGAGGTCGAGAGCAGCGCCAGAAGCGAGGCGGGCGCAAGAGAGTCAATGGCGTCACTTCTCGGCCGAGCAAGAGAGCTGGCAGAAGAGGAGAAAGGGTGGGAATAGCTGGTGGGGCATGTCGCGAATATCTCGTCAATTAGGCCAACTGTGACGGGACAAGAGCACGAACGAGGTCGAGTGTGACTTGGGTAAAATGATTGTTTACGAGGAGAGAAAGAGATTCCTAAGGAAAACTCTGACTTGAGCTATTTACACAATATTCATAAAGTGAGACTATTCATAAAGTATGAAAGTCACATGATCGTTCCCTCACACCAACTCAACGTCAATCCATTCAACGAAAGCGTTCAGTTGATCAACTCAACGAGAGGTCGGCGATTACTAAGCCAATTCACTCAATATAGGTCGTCCGTTGAGTTGGTTGAGTTGTTTGGGTCTCTGATCGCCGCAGACCGTGAGAAGGAGCAACGGCGGCAGATCCGCTCTGTGCGCTCTGTGCTCCTCAGGGAGATCGAAAGGCTTAAGGAAGAGTGGCGAGAGAATAAGGAAGTTGTTATTAATGGCGTAAAGAAGAAGCTACAGTTCAAGAAGTGGCTGGAGCACACAGGGAAGGATAAGGACTATCTATCTATGGATACACAACGCTCTCAGATGACTCAACTCCTCAACGAAAAGACTGACGGGTTCATGATACATATAGAGTTGCCGCAAGAAGTCAGAGATTCGATCCGTGAAGCATCGTGCACCACGAAGCCCCTCAGCGCGATGGACTGGTCTGCCCTCCCCGGCAGCGACGATACCATTACCTTCAATCTCGAGCCGCCGCGGCACGCCGAAGAAGAGGAAGAGGAAGAGGAAGAAGACCTTCCATTGATCGAAGTTGCTCCTCTTCATGATGGGCGAGCAACCCCTCGTTGGCAGCGATCTTCGCCGCCGATGACCCCCTCATATGAGTCATCGCCCCCGCCGGAAGAGGCTTCAACGCCGTGCCCTTCACGACCTCTACCACACACTTCTACGGTCGATCAGATCCTTCAGATCATCAGGAGGGAAAGAGAGGATTAATCAGCCAGTCTGTCGCGTTCAATTGACGTTGATACACCTTAAAATACATGAGGAGCCGTCTCTCAAGGCGGCAAGGCCTGAGCACCGCAACAGCGGCTTCTATAGCTCAATCCTAGTCTTTATGAATGTCATCCCCTTAGGCATCGCAAAAAGCATCACTTCTGCTTCTATTAGGGCTTCAAATATCACTTTAGACGCCTTGTGAACATCAAAAGATCGGAAAGGGTGTAAATCACGGCTAAAATCGGGCTTCGCCGATGTCCCGCAGTTTTCTGGCTGTCCCGCAATTTTTTGGCCAACCTAGCTTGCTAGGTTGGATCGCCTGGGGCCCTAGCCCCACATGATCCAACGGGTAGTTAGATGGCGAACTTTGTGTTGGATGCCTTAGGCCATGAGTCTAGCGCTAGCGCCGAGCTCCATTAATGAATGCAATTCCATGAATTCCCTCGACGCCATTAACCCTACATGCAATCCGACTCTTCGGTGAAGTAGGCACATGGTTTGACATCCGATAAGTCACACCGGACGCAGTATATCTGTCTTTAGGGTCTACCGCGCAATGGGACCTTCGTCACGGTGCACACCGAGTCGCCCAAGACATCCGAGCCGTCCGAGAGATGCTACTACTGCACGGCAGACTGCCACTCCAAGTACCGCTCCTCCAGCGAACTTGAGAAGAATCCTCCGAGAGCGCCAATCAGCTCGCAATCGCAAGGCATGCTTACCTTGCCGGGAGCGAAAGGTCAAATGCGACCAGGAACAACCATGTCGGACTTGTGTCAAGCGCGAACATCCAGATCTTTGTTTCTACCGGGAACCCGGCAACTCCAAAGTCTCGAATAGGTTCCAACAAGAGCCGAGCCTTCATGGTCCCAGCTCCCCCGAAACTACGGGGGAGTCTCCCAATAACAATTGGGTAGCTGGAAACCGCGATGCAAGGGAAGTAGACAATGGGTCCACGGGCGCAGGTCATACCGGTAGCTCTGAAGGACAAATCCCGACTCCCTCTCTACTTGGAGACAACTCTATCATCGCGTTGGTTCGACGGGACAGCGTGCAGCCACCAACAGAAAATGAACGGCGTACAGCCTTTGAAGCCGGAATCTTTCCCCTCCTCGGCATAGACATGAACGCCCAAGAGGGCAGGTCTCCCCATTCACATCTTGCCCAGGACGGGAACCCTAACTCGTCACTTCCTGATGACCAGGAGATGATTGAACTTTTTAGCTTCTATCGTGATCGAGTTCACCCTTTTTCGTTCGTTCTTGATGATCTCGACGAAATAGAGAAGATGGTGTGTTCGCTCGTTAACCAGGATATGGAAGCTTGGCAATGTGACAGCACTTCACTCTGCCTCCTCCATGCCATTTTAGCGGCTGGGGCGCAGTATTCGAATCTTGCCCTTGCTGTTCAATTACCCAAGTATCAAAAGTATTGTAAGCTATCCAAACCCTACTTTCCATGGCCGCGACCGCTCACACATGACAGTGAAACACGCTTTGAGCTTTCTAGGCACATTCGACTACCTGAGGAACCCTTCCAAGAAGCTGATCCAGGCTCTCCTGATTCTGGGTCCTGTTTTACAGAACGACATGAACCCTCGAGCAGCTTGGATCCTAGGCGGCACCACAATTCGACTCGCACTATCATTGGGTCTTCATCAGCCTGAATCAACCCCTGGAGCTTGTCGCATCTCGCCTGCCGAAGCACAACACCTGCGGTAAGGACTGTTTACACCCTGTCATTTAGCCTTCACTAGTACTGATTCAGCATACCCGCCATAGGTTAGCCATAGTCTGGCAAGATACCCTTCTTTCTATAGCGTTTGATCAGCCTCCCGCATCACAGGTGATGGACATTGGTACAGACCTGCCTGCCTTGGAGCGACCAGGAGGGTCTAATGTGGCCCTGAGCTACCGGCAATCTATGAACTGGATGTGTCATTTGCTACTTCGCTACCAGTCCGTACATTTAGACACAGCATCGATGCAACGCTATCTCGATGTGTTTCAAGATTTCAACGCTCTCGAATGTTCTCTTGCTCCCCACTTGAAGGACACACACCACTGCTGCTCCATCCAAGAGATACAAGAGCACCACAGCTTTGACCTTCACAGGAACTGTGCCATCTCCACTCTCTGCCGACCAATTCTTTCGAGACGGGCGAGACAAGCCATGGGCAAAAAGGGATCATCAATGATTCTCGACAAGTTTCAGGACGCCTTAAAGCGAAGTGTCTGTGCTTTTATTCGTCTGCGCTCAATGTCAAGCCATGCAACCCGCTCTTGGGCATTCGTTCACAACGGCCTCTCTTCTGCGTTGCTACTGAGCTTCACCAAGCATCTTAAAGACACAGAGGACGCGAGACAGATCCAGACACAGCTTATACAGAGTTTGACAGAGAGAAAAGAAGACGTCGGGCAATTTTCCATTGCACACAGGAAGGCCCTCAAAGCTCTGCAAACCTTGCAGAAGTTTGCAGAAGAAGGTGTAGCCAAGGAATCGGCTATAAATGAGGCACAAACGCAGAAATCTACAAGCCATCCAGATGAGACCTCGATACCCGACGAGGGTTTGAGTGGTGTTCAGGACCTTAGGTTGGTTTCAACATGGCTTACTTGTTGGAGTGAATGAGCTGATTGAATTATTATGTAGCATGCTGGACATGGATTACTGGCTTCGGGCCTTTGACTTTGACTCTTTCTCGCCGTTGGACGCGTACAACTTTATCATGTCTGACCCAGCTCTGCCAGAAGCGGGCTTATAGGCTTCCAGACGAATTTCAAACAGGCATTGGAAATTTGCTCCTTTGTTTCAAATCAAAACTTGTTCTTAGGGCCTACAACACATCGTCATTACGTACTTGAGTGGCCGCCATACCCTATCTTCGCCTATTTCGACGAACAAAAGCCCAGGGCTTCCCAACGACCGCATACTCTCTCCTGGACCTCTTCGGGAAACGAACTCTTGAAGTCTGCGCCCTCCCAGTTTTTGCCCGTTGTATACTCAACAGGTAACAAACAGTCCGAAACAACTTTGCCACCCTTATTCGGCGCCCCGTTCCCGTGCGACATGTAAGGAATCAGGGGGAATCCCAGAACGTCCTCAAAGTGATGCTCATCCATACCAGGCCGGCAGCGAGTGCAGAAGGCCCAGATAACGTCCTTGAAGTCGTACACGTCGATGTCGTCGCCAACAAGGAGCAAGCGATGGATAGTTAATCCAACCTTGTGTCGGAAGACTAGGTCTCCAACCTTGCGGCAAAGCTCTTCAGGATTGGTCTTTAGCTCTCGTAGTTTTTGAGTGTCGACTTGTAAGGCAACCCAAGTGACTTGAGACTCAAAGGGAGAGAATGCTTCCTTGATGGGAAAGCCATTTGACTTGAGGAGGAAACCAATCTCTGCAGCCGCGAGAGGGCCGATCATAGTGTGCTGCGCTCCATTAGTTAATGCACGTCCTGGAATTAGGAAACGGTACCTACAGTCTCGTCCGTTAGCCGACCGCAGCAGGATACAGGCAAAATGGCATCTTTTCGATGTGTTATAAAATCGACGGTGTACTTGGGCAAGGAGTGGGTGTCACCGGGGAACACATAGCTAGAGACAGATTAGTCGACTGATCTAACATGCCAGAGTTCAACATGGGCATCAATGGACAGACTCGCCCATGCATCTCCCCAAAAGGACCTTCAGGAGCAGTCTCCGCGATAGAGCAAGTCCCTTCGAAAACGATCTCGGAGTTGGCGGGCACATAAAGCCCGTTGGTCTCGCATTTGGCCACCTCGAGAGGGGTTCCGACAAGCGATCCAATGTACTCGGCCTCTGACAGTCCATCCGGGAGCGGCATGCTAGACGCCATAATGGCTGCCGGAGGAACACCAAACGCCAGAGCCCATGGCATATCGTGACCTTCCTTCTTCCACATCTCGTGAATCTGTCCAATGTGCTGGGGTGGCATGACAAGGCCGACGAGGTGGTTGCGGTCGTGTACCATTGCACGAGCGATGGACCAGTTCGTCCACTTGCCATCCGGTGACTGGACGATGTGCATGCCGTAAGTCTGGATGTACTTGCCACCATCTGACTGGTGCAACAAGGGCGCTGGTAGCTTGGTAAGGTCAAATTGATTTGGTGTCAAGCGGAATTCCTTGCAAGGACCTGTCTCAACAACCTTGGGTGGGATAGGAGTGGTTGTCTTTGCAGCGACCATCTTATCCAGGATGGTCTTCATAGACGAGTCTGGAGGAAGGCCAAGATGTCTAGCCAACCTCCCATAACGCTGCTTGAGATTGGAACGGAGGGAATTCGGTGCGCCAAGAATTCTCCAGAGACCGTTTACGTCCCGTCCCTTGACGTTGTTGAATAGAGGTGCCTTTGCATCGTTCTCCACTACCTTTCGGATGATGGCGCCGACTTCGAGATGAGGATCACATTCGTCGTTAATCTGGACAAGATCATCGTCTGCCTCAAGAGTCTCGACATAGGCGCGGAAATCCATGTGTGGGAGGTTTTGCGATGGCATTATGAAGGTAATGTAAAAGGTAAGTTGTAAACTGTCGTGTGTGTGAGAATATTGACACCCTAGAAGAGTTTGACACAAGTCTAGGCATGCTTTTTATAATTCCCACGGTCGGTATCCATATTCGCCCATGATATGGACCGTGTTGCGGTGCTCCGAACCCACCGAGAGCTCCGAGCATACCGGCCTATCCGCAATGTGTGGATCGTCCGAGGGCGCCGAAAACCTCCGAAGTCATTCTCGGGGACACCGGAGCGATGGTTTTGCCTCGCAACTTGGAGGCTTTAATTTAAAAGCAAGCTCAAGACTGCTTAATATTCAGGCCATAGAATATTTAAAGTCTCAACAATTCCTCATTTACTTCACAAGCCTTCGTAAAACTTGTCGCTGCTCTATACGAACATTATTTCATCTCAAATATATTACCGAACGAGACTTCACACATCTCCAAGTTCTTTCGATTCACAATTTGCATCAAAATGGGAGAGGTTGCCAGGAAAAAGATCATTGTGGCCCTGACTGGCGCAACCGGTGCCGCGATAGGCATTCATGCCCTCTCAATTCTTCGACTACTAAACGTCGAAACACATCTTATCATCAGCAAATGGGCCGGCGAGACGATCAAGTATGAAACGGATTACACGCCGGCCGCTGTCCGCGCCCTGGCCGATCACACCTATAACTCCAACGACCTAGCAGCACCTATCGCCAGCGGCTCATACCACATCGACGGCATGATCGTGGCGCCTTGCTCCGTCAAGACATTAGCGGCCATCAATGCTGGCATCTGCGATGACCTAATCACTCGGGCCGCAGATGTCTGTCTCAAGGAACGGAGGAGGCTGGTGCTATCCGTGAGGGAGACACCACTTAGCGAGATTCACTTGAGGAATATGATGGAAGTTACGCGGGCCGGTGCTATCATTGCACCTCCTGTGGTGGGATTTTACACGCGACCAGACTCGGTGGAGGATATCTTGGATCAGATGGTTGGCCGATTATTGGATCTGTTTGGACTGGATTCGGGAAACTTTGAGAGATGGGAGGGGATGCGAAAAGACGGCCTCTAATAACGCGTTTGATGTTGAGAGTACGGGGTTGAATTATGACACTAAGGGGCTGGGATCCCTACTGTACAAAGGATCGCTCGTAATTTGCCTTTCGGTACGAAAGGCCTTCCTAGGCTCTGGGATTTTTCACCGCCCTGGTTCAGCATCATGGTGGCTTCTTCCTCGGTCGGCAGACCGTCCTTCCACTTGTGCTCGGATATGAAGATTCGCATCATCGACCGCTTCTGGACCTGGAACGACAAGGTCGCCTCCATATTCAGGTTCCACCGATTCCGGTTCAGCGGCGTCACCACGGTGATGCCCGTTTCCCACGGGATCCGCCTGTCCTCCCGGTAGCACCTTGAGTTGAGGAGGTCCAGATCCGTGCGGTCCTGCACGCCTAATCGGATTCGCTTCAACAGTCTCTGCAGTACCGGATCTCCAGCGGCGCGCATTTGCTCGTTCAGCATGACGACCGTCGTGAACTTCTTCCACAGTGTGTGCGCCTTGTCGTGCTGGTGCCGTTGCTCGGCCCTGAACGAGTTGTCTACGTCCCACGAGACGGCCACGCTGGGGAGCAGGATCGACCTCTCCTGTACCGGGCGGAACTGATGCATACATGGCTATATGAATATTCACGCTGATTTTCTCATATTCATATTATATTCAACTTATCTTGCAGAACACATATTCATATAACATATTCATGCGTATGCATATACATGCTCACGTGATGCCAAGCTACTGCAGTGAAGTGAGAGGAACCGATTGATGTAGCTATATAGCCCGAAAACTTCTCAATCGCCCCCGTTTGGCCTGTACACTATTAAATATCACCCTCTATAGCCTCTGGATCACACGGGAGGCCTATCCCCCCCTCAGCTGACGGTCTAATATGTCCCTCACGCAGCCAGTTGCCGATACACCCAATCTTCTCAATGCTCTCAATCAGCAATCGTAGCCTATCCCATCTAGCTGTGTGCCTGGCCCCCGAAAAGGTCCGCTCTGGCTCTGCTGATTCTGCTGGTACAGACAGGATATCGATAGCCATGCGGCTAAGCCGTGGGTACGCTGCACGAACGTCCTCACTACACCACCATTGAAGGGGCGTAGTACCCTCTGCAAGTGCGATAGGAGCCTCTGAGATAAAGCTATCGAAATCATCCTTGCCCCGTGCTCTCGCCATCGTCTTATTTCGCAGTTCTAAGCGCATCTTTGAGAGCATCGTATCCTTCTTTCGCTTTAATAAAGTAGGCGCAGCCAAGGATTGCTCTGAGAGCTGTATCTCGACATCGTGATTGTACTCTTCCTTCCAGAGACTACGGGCGGCGGCAAACGCGCCCTCGTGCCAATCCTCGGGCCAACATTCTTCGATATAGCTCTTGCGTTTAGAAGGATCGAGAAGGAGGGTGGCGGCATATACGGGCCATCCTCGGTCATAGTGTAATAATTATCGAGTATAAACCAGCACATATCGATAGAGTGAATTATACGATTATCGCGATTGCTGGGCTGCGAGTAGTAGGCCGAATTAGCTGATTAGCATGCCGTATAACGGTATAATCTATGGAGAAAGCAGGAAAATGTAAAACTTAGCCATATACCTTCCACTTTTCGCAGTGCCCTAGGAGAAGGTCCAGCAGCTTAAGTGACTGTGAGATGAATGCCATAGCGCCTTCAGCTTCCAACGTGGCCTCATAGAAAGGTTGAAGGAATTCTAGCGTTCTTTCTAGCATTTCCCAATCCCTACTGCTAAGAGTATTGCCTTCGAGATCATTATCATGTTCAGCAGTAAACTGGATGATCTGTGACTTCTTGTTTAACGCAATAGTGATAACTCTATGCCATGAGGACCATCTCGTGATATTATCGATACCTAGTTGCTTACCTACAGCATCGTACCACTGATCGTTATATAGAGCTGAGCCCCGTATATAGACTGCAAGTGCGTGAAGTTTTGCTAGTGCTGGAATGCCTTGCCAGCCAGCGAAGCGCTCATCGTTGTTGCTGGCTTGCTGATGCGTAGTTGCGGCTCGCTTGTCTCTCGCCTTTATAGATCTTCTCGTGGGCTGCTCCTGCCGCTCTTCTTGCTGTTGTTCTTGCTGCGTGGTGGTGTCCGAATGTGCCGCAATCTCCGCCAGATCCAGCTCATGTAATTGCTGTGAGAACTCCTCAAGCATAGTTGAACCGGGCTCATCGGCAGTAGCTTCGAGTGCAGCTCTAAGAGCTGCTTTTGAGCGAGCAAGAAGGAATGCTTGTAAGGCGAGATTGATAATATGGCCGATGCAGCGGATTCTGCGGCGTTTATGAGGGTACTCAGCCTATACTGTAATTTAGTCTAGGCTACAGCAGCATTAGTAGCCAAGAGTTAAACTTACACCAGATTCCACCTCCAAAATTTTTGATAGCTCCTCTAAACAGGTGTCGTTTGATGTGGCATTATCGCCTACATAATAGCCGAGGTTTTGAGCAGTAATATTGAACTTCTGTAGCGTACTGGCGATCAATCCAGCCTGCGTAGCACCAGAATGGCTGTATTTGCACTCCGGCAGTCCTAGCAGTGCTTTCTGAAGCTTGAAGTCCTCATCTACCCATTGAACGCATACAGCGAGTACGCCATGGCGATGTGGCGATGTCCAGAGATCAGAAGATATGTGTATCTTCGACTGCGTAGTTTGAAGGCTCTCGGCAAGCTGTGAGCTGTATAACGAGTAGTTCGAGTTAATATAGCCCATAGCCTGCTTTCGATCGTTGATGAGAAGGTCCCCAATGGCTGGATTACATGCCAGAGCCAGATCTCGCCGCTCAGAGTACTCAACTGCCGAAAATGGCAGTCTGCGCCTTGTTAGAAGCCCCACAACTGCCTCAATGTAGGCTTGCTTATTAAAACAGTTGCGGAGAGCAGCCTGCGAAGGACGAGAGACGATATACGAATCGATAGCGCCAGGCGAAACACCCGAGGCAAGTGTCCTAGATGGAGTATCATTTGCAGCCTCGCTTGCTCGTATAAGGGCTCGGTGAGCCGTTTCCGCATGGTGTATAGCGTTGCCAGGCACTCGATTCGACCATGGAGGATTCTGACAGTGAAGACAAACGTAAGCACGATGTCCCTTGGTCTTTCTGCGCTTTGTACCAAGCTCAACTTGGAGGTGTTGATCGGGATAATCTATATAGAAAAAGGCGTTGAAATTCCATGAAAGTTTCGATGCAAACGAACCGATAGAAGCGTTATTAGTCCATGAGACTGAGATCTCAGAAGCCTGAGAAGTCATAGATGCTGATAAGTAGTATGTTACTGCATGGCATGAGTTAACTGAAGAGTTTTCTTTAAGATCTAATCAAGAGATTGTCGGGTAGAGAGATTGGTGTTGGTATGAAGTGTATTCGGAGTGTCTCACATCCAACAGACCAAAGGGTCATACATTTGATCAAACCGGAAGGAAGGTCTTCCAGCTGTTCAGCCAGGCTGTTCAGACCGGCAGTCCGGAAACCCGGACTTCCAGTCAGAGGTTGGTATCACCTATGTCTCCCAAAAAGCAAGTTTTTCAACACAACGGCCGTTACGGCCCCGGAGGCCCAATTCATCTTAGGTATAAGAACCCAACCTATTTCCACTCAGTAGATAGAAAAATCAAGAGCTTCTATCCTTATGACCCAGATCCATCAGAAATTGTGACAGAGTGGTGGTAGCTCTCTAAATACCTTATGGCTGTGTCGAGACCTGCAGTCTATACCGAGACCTGCAGCCTACGCTGACATGCAGCCTAAGCCAATGAGGCCGGATGTGACTAGTACCTATCATCTCCCACAGAGAGTAGATCGAATTTGAGTCAATCAGGACCCTCTCCCTTATACGAATATGCATGAATATGGATACCTAAGTACATATTATATTCATATATTATACAGGAGAGGCAAACCGGTCGCGGTTTGCGCAAAACAGCCTTGAGGAACGAAGCTTGAAGTGATCGATTTCAATTCTCTTAAACTTGGTTTCGAAATCCGAGGTTGCATTAGACATACAGGTTCTTAGCCTCGGGTATTGACAACTAGATAAAGTAGCGGTCGATCAATGTGGCTTGTAGTAGGCTGAAACAAGCGTTTGTTGGGCCACACGAGAGGGCGATTATTCCAACTGTGACGTCGTCCCGTGTCTCGCCCTGTATTGTCTCATTGGGGAAGCAATCAAGGATTGTGAAAGGGGGGGGAGGGAGAAATGAGGGGTTGCTAAGACATTCCACGGTGAAGAATAGATCCCATCATCAAATAACGACCTGCCTCCTCTGGCGGCATTCTATTTCACCTCCCCTCAAGAATCTAGCTTGATCAGAATTAGCATTTGCCCATTTATCGAGAACTTTTTTTTTTATCATGACCACTTGCACCGTTCGCTTCGACTTCTTCTGCGGCGAGACCAAGACGCTCACCTACAGGCACAAGGTCCCCTCTAGCCTGATCACCAATGCTACCATCGCCGGCAAGGACACCCGTACAATGAGCTGTTCCGAAAGACAGTTGAGCCCATCATGGAGAAACATGAAGGGGCTTGTCGAGACGCTTTTGAGGCCCCTGTTTGCAACAGCTGCGGGTCTCCTGCGAATATAGTGCTGCAAAGCCCAATGTCCTGGCTCAACGGTGGAGAGGGCGAGCCATTCATTGGCGTACGGGTCACACCCTTTTGCGGAAATGAACGGTGTGGGACACGGCTACGGCAGGAAGTCCAGGAGGAAATAGATGAGAATTTTCAAGACAACTCGGGGCCAGCAGGCCAGTGTATAGAGATCATGGCTTGTCAAGTGTGCGGCAAGACAGAAGGAATCAAGCGATGTGGGCGATGCAGAGTTATAGGATATTGTGGGACAGAGCATCAAAAGGCGGACTAGAAGGTGCACAAAATGATGTGCATCGCCGCCAAGGATGGGTAAAAGCGGAGACAGTGACAAGGCTGGGCACGTGGTGAGCATTGTCACCGAGCTTAATTCTACCACATTGGATAGATATCTGAAGAAGAAAGAACAACTCTACTTTCTTCCGCAGTGCTAAAAATCAATGACGAGTTCTAGGTGTTCAGGAATGCCCATCATCAAAGTTTTGGCTACTGCTTCCAACTACTTCTTCGGTGGGTTGCGGCTTCGATGGGGACGGTTCGAGGATTCCGACGACGTAGAGGCCGTGATCGTGTCCAGTACGGGTGGGGGTGCAGGCGCGGGTGCAGGTGGATGAGTTGCCTGTGCGATGTGTTTCATGAAGGATGAGACGGGCTGCTGATTCCCGGCACGGCCTGTTTGGGACTCGTCAATAGTCTCCTGGGAGCTCAAGCTGCCGATAGGAGATGCTGAGGAAGGGATTATAATCGGGGACGACGGGGCTAGGCGCGACCTCTTAGTAGGCAGTGTATGGTCGACACCGGGAGCTGGTCGCTTCGGTGTTGGTGAGGTAGATAGGTAGTGGTATTGTGTAGACGATGTAGGGGTAGAAGCGATAGATGGCATCGATTCTCCTGGAGTGAAGGCTGGAATCGAAGTCTCCCTGGGAAGAGGAGTTGGCAGTGCGGTGGGCCTGCGCGAGGTGAAACTCGCCCTGATCTCCTCGAACGGCGTGCGGTCAGGTGATGATGAAGGAGGGGCTGATGCCGCAGCGGTCGGTGATGGCATGGGTGAGGCAGATACGGAGACTCCTCTGTCGAGAAAAGTCCAGGAGTCCGGAACGACGATGAAGACGTAATCCTGTGCAAGGCCCGGTGGCTGCACCATGAGATGATGGCCAAGCAGGCCGGCCACCTTGCCGGTGCAGGTCAGCAAAACATTGCTCTGGAACTGGGTGTCTCGCCTCTCGGCCATCTTCTTGCAAAGCGTGGCCCACGGATTCGCGCGGATCGGGAAGATGACAAAGACCTGGAAGGGATGGAAGCCTCTGTACGGCGTCTTGTCAGGATTACCAGGGGCAAGAAAAGTGGTCAGGTGAACGAAGCCGCAGCACTTGAGTTGGGCATCGTCCAGCGTGGGTACAGACTCCCTTCGCAGGAGGGTGTGGCCCGGACCGACAATATTGCCGGTGAAGCTGACGATTGGAGACGAAAGAGGGAACTGGTCGACCGCAGAGAGGCTCCGAGGCAGTACTCTAGGTGTGGGCGAAGAAGTCAGCGATAAAACGTAAGAGGGATTGGAAAGCGGATAGAACAAATCCAACATACGGCTGATAGCCCTGATCACGCACGATCAGAGCCGGGATAGTGTAGGCAAGGTGGTCGCCATCCGCGAGCTCATCCTCCAGGCCATCTTGACGCTCGATCTCCCAGGTCAACGCAAAGGGATGGACGCGGCCGGCCATGAAGAACCACTGGTCGGACCAGTCGTCAGAGACGATCTGCTGGTTGTAAATGGACAGATTGAGGCTAAAGAAGATGGAAGGAGATGGGTCGGCAGGATGGGCAGTTGGGCACGCAAAGGAGAGTAATCCGGAGCCGTGAGCCAGGGAGGGATAGGAAGGACAACTCTCGCGATGGTCTCTGCGTTCAGTCCCTTGACTCGGTGCTCGTCTGCGGAGGCAAACCTCGAAGGGCAGCCGGGCTGGACGAAGAACATGATGGACATGTCGCCGCCGACGTTCCTCGGGCTACTCAGCGGCTTACGAGCATGCGACGATCCACCGCCCGAGCTACTAGACGCGGACGTAGACATTCTTGCGGATATTGGCCGGCTGCACACGAGTCCAGCTCGCCAGGTATCGAGAAACGTGGAGTTAAAGTGTCGACAAGCTCAAGGAGAGGAAGATAGGCATTGCAGGTCAAGGCCTGTGGGAAAACGAAGACGAAAAGAAGTGGAAGACGACCGATGATGTCGGGGCGGGAGCTGAAGCGAAGGCAAGTTGCGGTCAGTCGTTGAGAAGCGGGGTTTGGATGAGGGGAGAAGAGTTCATCAAGTAGAATAGCGATGGGGAGGCTAAGACCTGCACGGCGAAGGACAGAAAGAAGTTCACCTAGCCGATGCGGGCCAGGCGGTGAGCTTCTGTCTCTGAAGAATAGTCGCTATTGGGTATGGAACTGCGGCTCGTGTGCGGGGTGTAGGCCTGACGGCAGCAGAAAGTGTCTCAGGAGCTGTTCGGAAAACCCTGATGATAACGAATAGCAGGACGAGGCCCTGCACGAACGGCATGGTGATAGGACCCCGAGAGTGAGAGGGAACGCATGTGAGGGGGGCGGGGTTCGAAGAATGGATTTGTAGGTCTCTATAAACGGGACAGTGTCCTGGGTCAGGAGCAGAGGGCCATAGATTTTCAGAGGACTCTATAGCGAACAGCACATAGATACAACACGAGATGGATGGCGAGATTGAGTTTCCTTCACCTATATGGACCCAGGAGGTCGACACCGACGGCTTGGTCCACGACATGGGTCAGGAGAATCGCCTTCAACCAAACGATATAGTTGAGGGGGATGAGAGGCGACGGGGACGTACACATAGTGTCTTGCCCTAGCGTCACCCGGCTGCGGCTTACCAGACTTCTCCTCATCGACCAGTCCTACCAAGAGAGCCGCAAGGCATAAGCAGCAACGGTAAAGGAGGAATAACAGGACTCCCCGAGACAGGCGAGCAAGCTTATCCAAGCCCGCGGCCAACCCAACAAAGTCTGGAGAGTGAAGCTTCGGCAGAGACGCGCGAAGTCAGGGAAGAGCAAAAGCGCCAGAAGCGGCGCCGTGGGAGGCCAGTCACTCGTACCCAGGCCGCCATCCCCGTTGCCATCGCCCCGCGGGCCATACGACCTAGGGAGGCAACGCGCGGGCAAGAGCAAGCGTCCGTGGAGCAACCGCTTCGCTCAGGAGCTGGCCGCGAGGGCTCCAACCTGGAAAGAGGACATCTGCAGCGCCGAGCGACTGATGTTCTCCCGGCACCGTTCGGGTCCCGACGAGGCAAACACGTACGACGGCGTGCGCGGACTCGAGAGCCGCAAGAACCGCAGGCACCGAGGCAAATCATTCCGGCTACACAGGAGGCTCCGGCAGTGACAGAGCCAGGCCTAGGACCAGACATATCCTCGACCTTGAGTGCGCCCCGGCGAAAGAGGAACACTAATGCAGCCGGCAGAGAGGGGCTGCCAGCAAAACGGGCTCGCTTAGGCGCCCATAAGGAAAGAACAGAGCAAGAGTGGGAAGAGGATGTCGCTAGCGTTTTGCACTGCCTTGATGAGGAATTCGCCGAGAAAGAGCGGCTGTCCCTGAACAAAGAATGGTGTACGCCCGTCTCGCAAGAGAAGAAGCTATCGACCGTGCAGACATTCTATAATGCTTTCCACGATACCGAAACTTTGCCCATATGGACATGCGCGGTGTGCTACCGGAAGTGCGGGAAAAGCGAGCTGGAAGATGTAAGCTGGGACCAGTGGGAGTCTAGTGTTATGGGAAAGCGCGACGGCTCAGCTCTTACCTGCCGCGAGTGCTTTCCCATCGGAGGCCGTATTCTAGCCTGCCCAGAATGCGTGAGCTGCCTGATGAGAGATTGTCTGTCGGCTGCTGCCCGGGCGCACGTTGGCCTAGGATGTGAGCATATGTTCCCAGAGGAACTAAAAGGACTCACCCCGGTTAAAGAGAAGCTCATCAGCCTAAATTCATGCTATGGATTTATCACGAAGTATAGCGTCGTGGATGGGCAGCGACAGGGTGTGACGTATCCAAAACATATCAAGGGACACATCACGGTATTCCCTAATAATGTTCAGGAGCTGGTCACTAGGGTCCTTCCTCACCCCCTCATCCAGGTCATGGACGAGATACACGTATCGTGGCACGGTGCGCAGAAACCGGGACCTAGCGATCTATCGAGGCTTCTGTCCGTACGGCGTCGTGTCGTCGAGAGGGCTCTGGCCTGGCTGCGGATAAACAACCCTCACTATAGGGACATTGAAATCGACGAGGCCGAGATGGACAGCTGGGGAACTCCGCCTCATGATGTGCCGTCACAGATCCTTGAGCGCATCGAGCGTAACGAACCATCTGCCTGGGAAAAGGTGCGTACGGCCCAGATAGTGCCGTCTGCAGAGCGCGGTATAGATGAGGATGACGCTGTGGACATCGACGACATCATGGCCATGCTCAGGCGTAAGCAACAAGGAGGAGAAGGAGGAGGAGGAGGAGGGGCTGACCGCCCCGAAGAAGCGAGCCGAGGCAATGAAGCACTGTTTAGCGACAGAGGCCACGAGGGAGTGAGAGAAGACCGTCCGGGCGCTGGCATCAATAATCCTGAGGCCGTCATCCACGAAGTCAGTTCATCTGGCATGTTTGCACTCGACGCCCAGCCGGATGTTGCGGACGCGGACAGGCTAGAGTTCGCCTGGGAAGCCGTGGGCGAGGATGTCGAACAAGAAGCAGATCGGGCTACGGGGGAACGCGGCAGATCAGGAGGGTGGGCCGGGTCGGCATCTGTACGGCAAGGGCTCGGTCTAGAGCCATACATTTCAGTGTCACGGGGTGATGACTTTGCCGACTCCAATGACCCCTGGTTCTTCGCCAAGACATTTCCAACCCTATTTCCGTTCGGAACCGGCGGCCCTCGGCTAGCAGAGGAGAGCCTCCTCGTTGATGGTGGCGGGACGGATGCGGGAATCGACGAGGGCGCAGAGGCGTCGGCGAGGAATCTCCTGGCGTCGCGGAACATGAGCCTGACAGCATGGGCTGAGGCGGTGCTGAGGCGGCACGGCGGCCGCTTCGCGACCCATCACGTCTTCGCCTTTCTCGTCTTCAATCTAGGCGTCAGGTCAAGAAATCGCCGAGTGAGCATGTTGAGCGTGTCGAGGAAGGACTTTCCTTCTGTTGAGCGCATCGTGCACTCCTTGAGCAGAGAGAGGCTGAGGCTGGCTCAGCAGGAGCTTGAGATCTCCGGCCAGACGGCCGACGAGGGCATGAAGGAGCTTCTCAAAAGCCTTTCTCTGTACGGGTTCAGACAACCGATGTCGAGGGAGCATCGTCTGAGCCTGCGACGCAAGATCAAGTCACTCATCATCCGGTATGGCATCCCCGCCATCTGGTTCACGCTCAACCCGAACGACATCACCAATCCGGTCAAGCTGAGGCTGGCGGCGCACCGCAGCCGCGATCCCGAAGAAGCTGAATCATTCCTGAGGAGTCTGGATATGGCTTACAAGCGTGCGCGACTGGCGATCTCCGATCCGGTAAGCTCGGCCATCTTCTTCCACAGGGAAATCTCTCTGTTCTTCGAGCACTATGTCAAGGTGGGTGAGGAGTCCGTCTTTGGACGTATCAGCCAGTATTTTGGAGCCGTCGAGACCAATGAGCGGGGTGCGCTCCATGTTCACGGGCTGTTGTGGCTTCAAGGAAACATGAGGCTGAATTCAGTGTTGACGGATGTATGTGGTGAGGAGGGAGCATCCTATCGCAGCAGCATCATCGAGTACGTCGATAGCGTCTTCTCTGAGGTATGTCTTCGTTATCATCATAGTAACGGTCGAGGTCCTAAAGTGGAGATAATTCCGTTCCTAGGCTGACGATAGTATGAACAATTAGGATCTGGACCAGGAGGCGTTCTGCGCGGTTCGGGCGGAGAGATCGATCACGTCAGACATCTCACCACTTTTTCAAAACAGTCAACAGTTTGCTGCGTCCTTTGATGAAGAAGCCAACTTCTGCGCCGGCGCGACGCAGATCCACACGCACAGCCCAACGTGCGTGAAGTACTCACTAGGAAGGCGAGAGGGTAAGCAAGGGCTGTGCCGCTTCAAGGCTCCGTGGAAGCTGGCCGAGAAGACGATGTTCAACCAGGACGGTACGCTGCAGATCCGACGGTCACACAGCATGGTGAACAGGTGGAACAAGGCCATGGCGGTAGGGCTCCGGCACAACCACGACATCTCGTTCATCGCGACGCAGTGCAAGACGATGGCGCTCGTATACTATCTGACGAATTATGCGACTAAAGTCGAGGATCCGGTGTGGAAGCGCGTGGCTGCCGCATCGGAAGCACTGGATACGTCGGATGGTCAGCAGAGGCAGGATCATGCGGCGGATCGAGGGGATGTTGCCAACGGAGGCGACGGCAGACAGAACAAAGCAAGACAGTTCCTGATGAAGGTGGCCAACCGTGTCTTTACAGAGCGGCCACTGTCGCAGGTCGAGGTCGTGGCGCACTGTCAGACAGTACGTGTATTCGGTCCATCGGTTGAATCAGTGTATTCGTGTTGTCCTCGTGTTCTGGTTCAGTATCTGCCCCTGAAGGACCTGCTTTTCATCTTAAGATCCTTGACCCACACGTGACACCCCACATATTCAACACGCACCTGCTGGGGTATCAGACAGAGTTCTCCGGCAACGCCGCGTGGGCGTTCGCGAACGTGTCCGTGCTATACTGGCGCGTTTTCCGACGATGGTCTTATCTTCGCCATACGAGCGGTGAGGAGGTTGCGGACGGCGATCCAATGAATGATGCCGTGCTCGTGGAGCAGGCAGGCCAGAGAATCTCCTACTTCGACGCATACCCTCACCGTGGGGCGGTGCTTCGCGGCCTGTGCCTCTACGACTATATGTCGCTCGTGATGCTGAAGCGCAGGGATAATGGCGACGGGCCGTGCCACCGGAGGTTCGTATAATTAGCACAAACACTATCAAACCTCGATAACTATATATATACCCCATCCCTTTTATATTTCTTGACTTTAACTGATTTCATTACTTTAGGGCCGCCGTGCAGCACCTGGCCCTGTTCGTGCCGTGGGAGTGCTTCATATCCGAATCATCTGGCGACATCAACGATATATGGATGAGGCAGAAGGGGACGCTAAGCCAGAGGCTCTTGTTCGTATTAGACAACATCCAGCTGCTCCGACGGTCCGCGGAAGATGCAAAGCGCGATGCCAAACAATGGGCTGCGTCCTCCGCAAATGACGAGCTCGCGGCTGGGGAGACGGCGCTGGGGGATGGCGGCGTGAGCGACAGGGAAGATGAAGCGCCAGCCGCGTACCGCTGCGACAACATCGGAGACACCACGCGGCTGGTCGACGTTCTGAGGAGCGCCGGTGGAGCAAATCAGATTACGGCTGGTTCGAGGGAGCTCTCGGCGATGACGCAGCAGCTCTGCCAATTTCAGCATACCGCGTTGGGCTCAACCGCTGAGTTACGTGCCAGGATTACGTCCGAACAAGAAACGAGGACGGTGGCAGCGACTCTGCCGGAAGGCCCGTTCATTGGAGCCGAAGTTCCAACACAGAGGCTGTTGAGGTCTATCAAGTCACAGCAGGTGAGCGCTTCGAGGGAGGCGGTCAAGATGATACAGGGAGTTCAGAGTCTACCCGAGAGTAGCACGACCAGCCGCAGCGCAGCCGTCAACAGCGTGATGAGCGGGTTTGGGGACCATGACATCCAGCTGACGGCTGCAGATCCTGAGGGGAGCAGCCTTGGTGCTGGCCCTGCGATAGGCATCCGCCTTGGACCATCAACGTCCTTCCTGGCGGCGGGGAGACAGCTGGCAGAGCATTTCACGCTCAACAGAAAGCAATCAATCGCCTTTTTATTGATCTGCCGCCAGCTCGACCTGGTACACCGGAGCGAGGACGCGGACAGTGAACCTGCCCCTCAGCTGTGCCAGTTCGTCGGCGGCGAGGGCGGCACCGGGAAATCACGGATCATTGAGGCTCTCGTGGAGCTTTTCGCAAGCAAGAGGATCTCGAATCGCCTGCTGGTGACGGCAACTTCGGGAACTGCAGCAGCGCGCATCAACGGCATCACAATCCACTCGGCCTGCAACTTCTCCAAAGATACATCACGCATGGCCGGGGGCAGGGGCGCTGGTAGTGATGGTATCGGATCCTGCACGCCTGCTGATCGATACGTGGACGGCCCTTCGCGGACGGACTGGCGGGAGAGGGACCTCCTGATTATCGACGAGGTCAGCATGCTCGGGGCACGTACTCTCTGGATGGTGAACGAGCAGCTGTGTAAGCTCCGGGGGTCTCCGAAGGACTTTAGAGGCATCCCCATAGTTCTCTTCTGCGGCGACTTCCACCAGTTCCGCCCCGTGCAGGAGAGGTCGATCCTGCTCCCCAGTACGGCCATCTCGTGGTTCGAACAGGATTCGTTCCAGGTAGAGCAGAGACACCAACACGACAAGGCTCACGCCCTGTGGAGGAGATTTGCTACCGTCATCATGCTGGACGAACAGGTCCGCGCCGCCGGCGACCCTGAACTGCGAGCTCTGCTGACGCGGATCCGGCTCGGAATCCAGGACCAGTCGGATGTCGATCTCCTCAATGACCGGTGCTACCAAGAAGGCAGGCGGATCCCATGGGAATCGGGCATCACCGTCGTCACGCCGCTCAACAGGAACCGCTGGAACCTCAACATGGAAGCCACCCTGGCCTTCCAGCGGCAGCACCAAGCAGCACTGCGCATCTTCATATCCGATCACAAGTGGAAGGACGGTCGGCCGACAGAGGAGGAGGCCCTCATGATGCTCAACCATGGCGACGACAGCGCCATCCCCGTGCCGGCCATCTTCATGTTCGTCCCGGGCATGCCCGTCGTCGTCAACCAAAACACGCACCAGGGCCTCAAGCTCGTCAACGGGGCCAGCTACACGGCTTTGGAAGTCATCGTCGACAAGGCATTTCCGGGATACCAGGTCTCGGCTGATACCATACTCCATTTCGGGTCACCGGCAGGGATCCTCTTAGCCTCTGAGACGACGGCAGAGTTCCAGTTCGTCGACATGCCGCCCGGGACGATCTTGCTGACGCCGATGAGCATCAGGATAGAGTGCCAGCGGAAACGGCCGTGGCAGCAGCACGACGTCACCCGGAAGGGTTTACCGTGCACGCCAGCATTTGCATGCACCGACTATAAGGTGCAAGGGAGGACACTGCGCCGGGTGGCGTTGGAGCTGCGCGGGACCAGGACGACAAACATCGATGGTAAGGTGGTGCCCATCCAATGTGACCCATACAGTCTATACGTGCAGCTGTCGCGCTGTCCATCGCTAGACGGGATCATGCTGGTGTCGAAAGCTCGAGAGAGGGACCTAGTCGGTAATAGAATCCCTGCCAATATGGAGGCTGCAGAGGCTAGGCTGGAACTCCTCAGCCAGGAGACAATCAGGGCAGCTCTGAGCTGGCTGGATGGATGACGATGCATCTATGATAAATTAGAATGAAACCGGGATATAGTGATAGGATAATATAAAAGGAAGTCAATAAAATCAAAGTACTCTAATAAAGAAAGAGTGGAATAGTGATATACAATATATATATATATACATATAAGGGTTGAGTATATATATATATGAAGCCTCAAGGGAAGGAGACACGTGAGGAGTAAGGAGTATAATGGGAAGAGATGAGGGCCCCGGGGCGGCTTAAAAAGTTCCCAAGTTTTTTTCAAAGGAGTAGTTATTTTTGACCTATCAGAAGGGAGGTTTTCCTAGGCCAACCAGAGCGAAGGGCTTAAGTTGAGGGGCAACGGCATAAGACCTCTCGTCACTTCGTTCCTCAAGGCATGGATATGAATATGAATATATTCATGCATATTCATAGCCATGTCTGAAGTCACTCCAGTACTGGGCTGAGGTTGACAAATCTGGGCGTTTCACCATCCCACAAGTTGTGGAGGGAACTTACCGAGTGACCATATACGCCGACGGAGTATTCGGTTGGTTCATTCAAGACGATGTCAAGATCTCACGATCACACAACAGTAAGGGTTTTACCTGGCGCGAGGAGAGCGCAGGTAAGGAGATTTGGCGGATCGGTGTACCAGACAAATCATCTGGGGAATATCTTCATGGGTACGCACCTGATACATCCAAGCCTCTTCAGCCGGAACAATATCGAATCTACTGGGACAAGTATGATTATCCAAAGGAGTTTCCAAAGGGAGTCAACTTCCACGTGGGTGAAAGCGACGAAGCAAAGGATCTCAACTACGTTCATTGGTCATTTTTCCCAGCAAAGGGCAATCATCTACTTTCGGAGCCGTATTACGACAACGTGAACAACTGGACTATCACGTTTGATTTGAACAAGAATCAGCCGCGAGCTAGAACTGCCACATTCACAGTGCAGGTCGCAGGCATGCGAAGCGCCAATGGAAACGCAAAGTGGACTCCCGTGAAGGGCGGGATCAACGACTTGCCGTGGACCGTGAACGTCAACGGGGCTTACGAATCAACCTGGCTGATTCCTTATTGGCAGAGCGGTTCTTGTGCTGTGCGAAGTGCTGTTGCATGCCAGAATGTGGAACACAAGTTTGTGTTCCCGTCCTCGAAGCTTCGAGCAGGGAAGAACGAGTTTGTTTTGAGCCTGCCTTTCAATGCTTCAAGCGTTGAGACGGCAATGTTGCCTGACTCGCTATACGTTCAGTATGATGCTTTGAGACTGGAACTCAAGTAGTTTACTTGACTTGCTAGTCTCTGCGCTGGTTGATCAGGTTAAATATATGACGGAAGTATCAACCGTTGTCTTGTCGCTGATATATAAAGAGTTTGATAATCTATCTCTCAACGTCCCGCCCATCATCGGCGATGAGGCCACAGTCACGTTTAAAGTCACGGAGCCATTCGGCATTGTCAGCAGGAGTTTGGTTCCATGGGTCATCGCTGTGCAGACACTGTTAGCGATTGTGATACGGGCGAAATAAGAGAATGAACAGCAATGGCCGCATTTCAAGTGATCCAAGAAAATGATGCTTGTACTCACTCGCCATACCAAATCCAACGTGCCTGATATTTCAGCTCCTCATCAGTTGGTACATGGCTGCTAGGGTTGTTAGACGACATGGTGGTCATGACAAATCGTGACAGACCTCTCGCAAGACGCCTGTAGCTGTTGCTATCGTTGTTGAAGAGCGTCCAACTGAATGGGGTATTACCATGGAAAGAGTTTTGGGTTGTAGAGAGCGGTCTCGCACGATGAGTAGTTGAGGCGTTGCCAATGCCCTTGCCATGTTTTGGCCTCAGCAGCGGCGAGGGAGATACACCTGACGCCTTTGTAGATGGAACAGGGGTCCCGGAATAGTCCGAAGGCTGTAGCAGATCAGCCAACCCCCCTTGCAGCTGCCCAGAAGCGAGCTCAGAATTGGCCGGCCTGTTGGGTGAATGGACGGTGGCCAAGTCTGGCTGAGAATTATTCTCATCTGCTATGCTCTCGGCTGGGAATTGTCGTCCTCGATCACGCAAGGGGGCAAGCCACTTGTTTGACATCCAAACGAGCCTCGTCAAGAATCCGGTGAAAAGTTGAGACGAGTTGGGCGAGTCAGATTCGATACGATCAAGAAGATTAGCCGCCTCCTTCTGCAATTCATAGTCTGTCATCGGAAGGCCTATCATGTTATGAATCGCAACTAGTCGGCATAGTTGAGACTCTAGCTCGCAACCCTCAAAGATGTCACTCTTGCCATTGATTTTGAGTTGGCTCATGCGTGACTTGGCGACCTGCTCCATGGGGCGCAACCGGGCCTGTTGAACAATCTCGGTTGAACTGGTGAAGATGTCTCGAAGCCATGACGGTGCTGGCGGGACAGGATGGCCAGAGGCGACTTTTGCACCGAAAATAATGGAACATCCCTCGCACTGGAGTTCGTGATCCGAAGGCAAACGCCCATGTGCGTCTAGGTAGCCATACATATAACACTCGAGCTCTAGTTTGATGAGCTCATATGCACTAGTAGGTGTGCCGGCCGGTCCTTGCGTGACAGAGAAGGGAAGTGGCGAGGTTTGCTCGTAATGAATGAGGTCTATCGGTTAGTTGTGAGAATTATCATATCAGAAACAGCTACTCACAAGGTGGTATAGCATTCTCGATCATTTCATTCACGTCATGGTCAAATCCCCAATCGCCCTTCCAATCCGCCATTGTGCTTTCACTCTTAAAGTGGTCGGCGAGATGGTCGACTCGTATGGCCCAGGACGATAGAGCCTCTCCGCAGAAGCCGCATCGAGATCTGATCTCGGCGTTGTCGGTTTTCCATGAGTCCATCGGCCACTCCATGTACTTGGTACCATGTACCAACTTTAAGTGCTGGTGAAGGTGGTCCTTCCGATAGAAAGTGCGCTCCTCAAGCGAACGTTCTATGCACGCGCGCATTCAGGTGCGGCTCGTTCGGGTCGGCCTGTCTGCAGTAGATACACGATATGCCTTGCTCGGGGTGCATGGCAGTAGCCCCGTTTGGAGAGCAAACCCATCTCTCGAGCGAGAGATGCAGTGACTTTTCATGCCGAGTCCAGTTATGCTTTGTTTTGAACGTCTCTGGACAAAATGTACACTGGTACGTGTGGTACGTGTGGAACAGACTTGGCCGGGGGTAGCCTTGTCGCTTGGGCGCCCTTCGCCGTCTTCTCCGACCAGCATGTCGCGCCAGGATCCTAAGCGAGCTTCCGGAGCTGTAGGAATGGGCCGAGGTGTGAGACCCAGATCCGCGACTTGAATGGGAGTTGCCCGCGCTACTGACCGACGAGGCGTTATCTGAAGATCTGCCGGATATTGGCGAGAAGGGCCCAAGTTTAGGCGAGGCAGCCACGGCACGAGAGATGCTGGCGACAGTAGCGGGTTCGCATTCGGGTGGCGAGTGTTGCCAGCGCTGAAGGGGGCTCATTTCTTCACAAGGCATAGGCGTCGGGGGTCGTCGGGGGATATTGATGGTATTAGGTCCGGTTGATGTTGATTGAGTAGCATCACGGATATATGAGGCTTGAATCCGGGAAGAAGGCGGCTTAGAGCGCCTTCTGGCGTTTACGAGCCAGTTGGTTACTTGCTGCCGGCTGAGACCCGTTTGGTCCTGGAGCATCTCGAGATCTTCAGCGGTGGCATAGGGATATTGTTGATGGGCTGCGAACCAGTTCCTCAGTATCTTTGCCACCCGAGTAGAAAAGCGACGACCAGATTTTGGCGGTACACTGGCTGCCGGAGTTTGTAATTGGCCCATGGGTGTGGTGCTCGTAGAGGGCTCACCAACTACATCGGTGGCTGAGGCTTGGAGACTGCGGGTCTCTGAGGGAGAGGTGGGCAGAAATAGGTCTGTAGTGGTCCAGGTAGCATCAGTGTCCTCCACTTGCTCCTGCATCCAGGTAAAGAAATCGTCCTCCTGGAAGTCGAGGTCATAGTCGAGATCCTGGGCGAACTCGGCAGCGGAAGGAAGCTCTTCCGTATCGCGCCCAGATGGGATTCCGATCATGGCTTGGGGCGTGTTCTGGACCATCAGCGTCACGATTGTCTTCCGTGTGTGAGTTTCGTGTTTACCGGCAAGTGAGCACGAGATACATGTAGGTATGCAAAGTGAACGATGTCGAATCGTTGCTTGGGATGTTGAGAGGGGTCCTGTCATTCAAGGGCGAAAACGAAACCGGGCCACCTTGTCATGGAAGGGAGCAATCTGACCCACCCACACCGACACCCTGTGGAGCACACAAGCCTAGCTTAATTGAGACTCTTTTGGCTGGGACATCCCCTTGCACTGTTCATCTTGACTTCCAAGTCTGCTGCGAAAAAATCCCTATATTCCCATGTAAACCATCATCTTTCATGCCCTTATAATACCCTCTATACGAGGACTTATAATCTTGTCTTCCCTACTGTACAATGACTATTGGAACTGTAGTAGAGTTCTTTTTTGTGCCCCGCTTTACAGGGGGTAGAGTTCGTTTTCGTTTTCGCCAATCATAGCCTTGCTACGTCTTACATAAGGAGCGCGACACGGTGGGGGTCTCATACGTTCACAGCCGGCTGTGAATTTAATATCACGTGACTTACGCACACCCGGCTGTGAAAATAAGATTCGTTATGTAAGCTTACCTCAGCGAGCTCAGACCATTTCCAAGATGAGTCTAGCGGCTGTTAAGACTGACCACGTGATTTAGACAGACTCATCGAGCAAATGGTCTGAGGACCCTGTCAATGATTTTGGGCCCGAGTCAAGATGAATAGGACACGCGCCTGACGACAGGATAGACAGTTATACCTTCATTGGAGGAATCTTTATACAATGCTCAATTGTATTTTACTAATTTTGGATAGTATTTCTCTAAACTACGCGGGATACCTGGCGGAAGAGTGCCCAGATTGATGATTTTGTCGAAGTCTCGATTCACCACAAATTCGAGTTTTCGGCAAGATACAGAAGGCAAATTACCGAACAAAGAAGATCCCTGGACAGAGCACACTTTTTTATACAGCCCAGTGAAATTGAAGACAAATGTGACTTGTTGCGAGGGGGCTACTGATGAAATATGGGGGGCTGCGATACTTCAGAGTCACGAAAATCGTCGAAAATTATCGAAGAGTCAGTGCGTGCCATTGACAGAATCCTCAGACCATTTGCTCGAAGACGTCAGGTGACTTTACCGATTAGGTATAGTCCCGTCCGGCGCCTTGGACGAGCAAAATGGTCTGAGCTTGCTGAGGTAAATGTAAGCCCAAAAAAGGGGTAACATACTGCAAATTGGTGCAAATTAGGGCCCCAATTCAACGATCAACAGCTTCTGTGACATCAATTCAACGTGCCGCGCCTTCTTTCAGCTACTATGAACCCAATTGGCGTCCCCACTGCCTTCCCTGATGATGCTATGCCTCCTGAAGGTCAATATAGCTCACGGCAGGAACTGGTCACCGCAATCAATGCTTGGGCAGCGCCTCGAGGCTATGCCTTTTCAGTTACGACCTCTTGGAAGACTCCCAATGGAAGAACCGGGGTTATCTACGGGTGTGACCGTTCAGGGATAACGAAGGCCAAGCCAACGAAGAAACGGAAACGGAGGACTACAACACGTCGTACAGGATGCCTCTTCTCTATCACAGCAAAGGAAAGCCTGTGTGGGACCATTTGGAAGCTCACACATCGTCCCGGACCTGGTTTTCATCAACATAACCACGAGCCAAGCTTCAGTGAACAAGCACATCCAGCACATCGTCATCTATCATCCCCAGATAGATCAACAGTCCACAGACTCACCGATGCCGGCATTGAGCCAAAGAAGATCCAATCCTATCTACGCTTGAACTCAGATACACTTGCTACACAGCAAGATATCTACAATTGCATTGCACAAGGGAAGCGGGAGCTTGCCAAAGGCCAAAGCAACATGCATGCCCTTGCCAATGAGCTTGAGAACGAAGGCTTCTGGAGTCAGATACGCCTTGATGAGAGTAGCAGAGTCACATCAGTGTTTTTTGCACATCCAAGCTCATTGAGATACCTCAAGTTATACCCTGAAGTGCTCATATTAGACTGTACGTACAAGGTCAACAAGTACAGCATGCCTCTTCTCGATATAGTTGGTGTTGATGCTTGTCAACGATCCTTCTGTATTGCATTTGCCTTTCTCAGTGGCGAGGAAGAAGGGGACTTCATCTGGGTTCTTGAACGGTTACGGTATATATATGAGCATTATGGGGTAACCCTTCCGTCTGTAATACTCACAGATCGCTGCCTTGCTTGTATGAATGCTCTTTCTTCTCCCTCTTGCTTCCCTGAGTCACCTTTGTTATTATGCCTATGGCATATCAACAGAGCGGTCTTAAGCTATTGCAAGCCCGGATTCACTCGAGAGAAAGACGATACTCAAGGGCAGGAAGAGTGGGATACATTCTACAAGTCTTGGCATGAGATCGTGGCCTCAACGACCGAGGATATCTACAAGGAGAGGCTTGAGAAGTTCAAGCAACGCTACAGCTCTAGCCACCTCAACGAGGTTGGCTACATCATGGAGACTTGGCTAGACCTCCACAAGGAGAGGTTTTTGAAGGCCTGGGTTCATCAACACCTTCATTTCCAGCAATTCGTTACGTCACGGGCCGAGGGCATCCATCAGCTCGTCAAATCTCACATGAAGACCTCGAAAGTTGACCTTTTTGGGGCCTGGAATATCATCAAGCTTGTTCTGTTGAACCAGCTCAACCAGCTCGAGGTTAACCAAGCTCAGCAGCAGGTCAGCACACCAATTGATATATCTGGGCCGTTGTATAGTAATATCCGTGGTTGGCTATCACATGAAGCCCTGCGGCAACTTGATGCTCAACGGCAACGACTATTGAGAGAGTATCCTGCATGTACAGGAGTCACTGCGAGGACCCTTGGTCTGCCTTGTGCTCATATGCTTCAACCATTGGTACAGCTCGATGAGCCCCTTCTGCTAGAGCAGATCCACTCACACTGGCTTCTCCATCGCCCAGGAACCCCCGGGCTTATTGTTGAGCCTCGCAAGCAATTTGATCGCCTAGCAGCCAGTCCAAAGCTTCCATCAACAAGCACACAGCGTGAGCGTTGTGCATTTGAAGCCATTGAGAAAGCAGTACGGCCAAAGGCGCCACCAAAGTGTTCCAAATGTGGCAAGCTGGGCCATACATCAAGGTCTAAGGTGTGCCCCTTGCGCTACGAATATCTCGTAGAGACTCCAACAGGATCCTCTACAACAACAAATCCAGTACAGACTCCTATTGAAGCCTCTACAACTACGCATACAACAACACATACAACCACTCGCTCTGTAACCCGCTCAGTATCCCCTGCATCTCTGTCAGGAACCTCTATAGTATCCGAGACTATAGCCTACACAACAACGCACACAACAACACACACAACAACTCATATAGTATCTCCTCCAACACCTACACCAGCAACTGCGGCTCCTACATTACGAGCTGATGACCCGCGTGCCATCTACCAACGGTACAAAGAAGCACGAGAGGTCTGGTATGCTACAGTGCCCCGGGGAGGGTTGAGGACCAATCAACAATACCGGAAGGCTATGGGGTTGCCGGCACGCTATAGCAACGCAGAGCTCGAATGGTGTATTGACTATAAGCAAATGGGGAGCCATTGCAGGGGGGGATCCGGTATGAGACAGTGGACTAAGGAGGAGAAGATGAGTTATCTTGACTGGGATAGGGCTGAGAACGAGCGAGTTGAAGCGGATGTAGGAAAAGAGATGGCAGAGAAGCCTTTCCTGCAGCGGCGAGGAATGCAACACATCTGGGATGCTGCTGAGAGAGATGTTATACAGCAGGGGGGAGGGGCCTAGTGGGAACGCCCCCCCGCTAACGTTTGCAAAGTTGATACGAAATGTGATTAAAATATATCATTTGAATGAGAAAGAAAGGGCAAAACTCTGAGTACCTATAGGATTGGTAATCTGATGGCTTAATTTGAGGAGGTTGTAGCTGAGTTCCCATGTAGGGCCAAGTAGGCTTGGTAACGTAACACAGCATTAATAACACCGTGCTGTATTTATTGAGCTATCTTATGATATCACTTCCTTCCCTGCCAAACTATGGATAGGTAGTCATACCCATAGCTTGGGAAGGCCAACTTGTGCCCGGAACGGCATATCCCTGTTGACGATAGGATTGATCCATATTGTATAGTTGGTCTCGAGTCCACATCGGATTTACATTAGGATTGGGGCGCTGTTGCCGTTGCTGAAGCTGCTGCTGTAGATACCCAATATGCCACTCTGGTTCGACTTGATATCCGCCCCATGGGCGTGGAAACTCACTAACGGGCTGACCTTGCGGACCATACTGAGTATTCTGTGCTGTTACTATATATATAGCACATCACTCTCTCTCTTCAATTGTGAACATAGAAGCTATTTCTGTAAATGGAAGAGGTATATCTCTTGCTCACTCACATACGGATTGGACTTACATAACGTAACGAATCTTATTTTCACAGCCGGCTGTGAACGTATGAGACCCCACTTCCCGGCTCGGAAGGTTCACTGAGGGGTTTTCTTCCCTCCTGCAACTGCCTCACGGGGAGTCAATTGCTCGCCTCGGCAGGTGTCTCGTCATCTCTCACGCGGTCAAGACTCGACTTTCACCCCCCCACCTTCCCTCTGTATATAGCACTACTACAATATCCCTTCAATTGTGATAAGCCTCCCGGATGTAACTCGCCCCACATAACTCTGTCCCATGACTAGTACATCAGAGAAACCTCGCGACGCGTCATCAATCATTATCAACGCGAAGTCGCACTTTGTAACAAGAAGAATTGCTGGGACAAAGACCACGGGCTAATTTACGTTAGAATAGATGTATCTTTTATGCTCACATTTTAATTGGTCAGACACCCCTGTAGTGACCTGGCGGGAGGCTTATCACAATTGAAGGGATAGTTGCCACATTGAGACGCGCTTTTCTCTGCTTACAGTGGCCGGTAAAAGATATGAAGCTTTT